AATACAATTTGTTGCAATAACACTTCTATCAATTTTTACAATCTCCTTGAAATTGAAGAAATGAATCCATTTGATTTTTTTTATTTCTCAATTCAATATAAAGAGATATTAAATTGCGATGATTTTCCAAAAGTTACAGAAGTAATCACAGGTTTAATCTCAGCTTCAAATATTAATGCTATTATGCGAATTTGCCAAAAAATTTTGGATAAAATTACATTTTATAAATGTAATTATTGCCATATTACCTCAATATGGAATTTTATCACAAATGCAGCAATAATTCTTCCTGATGAAGATTTATTAATCAAATTATTAAAATTCATAGAAAAAACAGAAAAAGCAACAGATGAATTATTCGAACCGGAGAATGATTTGGGTTTCTATGAATATTTAAATTCGATTTTCTCAGATATTACATCTGCGAGAAATAAGCAATTTCTCTTGGAATTTCTAAATACCCATGAAGATGACTTCACTTATGATCAAACATTGTGAGGTCATTTTTGATCAACAAATTAATTGAAATTCCGATCAAAAAAAATTCACAAATTGGATCAAAAAAATCGAATCTCAAGTTAAAAATAAAAAATTTCTACATTTTTATCAAATTTAGATTTTTTTTTCAAATCATGCGAATTGATTGAATAATTGCATATTTTATCCCATGCATCTAGAAGTATGTGTAATATTTTTGCTTTCATCAAGAAATTGTCGAATTTGATCTTAATTTTTTTTGAAAAATATACTTTTAGAAAAAGAAATAGTGATTGAATAGCTGCCCATGCTGTAAAAGGGTTATTTTTACAAGTAAAAAAATTGTTATTTTTCGAGCAAGTCGAGGCTTTTTTACCATCTTATTTTTGAAAAATTTACGAAAAATTATATCTGAAAAAATGCTTCATTTTGATATCTTACAATGATAAAATACCAATGTTGCTGGGATATAATAGCTACACCTGGACATCTACTACATTAATGCGTATGACAGGTAAAGTTGATTTCAAAAGTATAGCCTGGAAAGATTACAATAAATCAACGATAATTCAAAAAAATTTCTTATAAGTTAACATAATAAAAATTTAATTTTTATATTGCTTGTATTATACTTAAGTATATAATATATTTAAATCTTAGAATGAAAATTCGGGACGCCCTAGCTATTCAATTTTCCCTTAGGACGCCCATAAACCTCTCAAAAATGTGATGTAAATATCACAATTTTGAGAAATTTACACTAGGACGCCTTAGGACGCCAACCCCATTTTTTACCATTTATGATATCATATTCTTGTTTTCAAGCTATTATCAATTTGAATATTATTAATTCTTCATAGATCTATGCTAAGTTTTTTCGGATTTAAACATAGTCATTTATAAATATAAGGGCGGGGAGAATGTCTATTTCGAAAAAAATAATCGTCTTTCGGTCTATTTCGAAAATAATCGTCCCGATCACGACGATAGAAGGCGAAATTATTAAAGATTGCATTTTGAAGTGAATGAATATATGCATAGATCATAACTCGTCTAGGCTGAGGTAAATATATAGTAAAGAAAGTGTTCAAGTTCTTATATAAAATCATAATTTCATTATATATGATATGTATTGATGATTGTTTGGAGACTTACTAAACATATTCTATATATCATAATTTTATATTGAAAAATCCTATAAAATGACAATTTGTGAGTTTTCATTATATTAATCATGATAAAGAAGTTTTTATGGGATTATGACCCTGTAATCTCTCTATTATTCTGATAAATAAGTATGCTGAAGTGAATATATGAAAAATAAAGCACAAAATAATAATAAAAATAAATTTTTAGTCATAATAAGTAAGAAAGTAATAGCACTATATTTGTTTATCGTAGCAGTGATCTGGATCACTAGTATTAGAACGATTTTAACAAGAAAAGAATGTAAAATTTCTGAAAATCGAATTTTTTAAAGTAGTTGCCTGGCAAAATATATCTGTAGTGTAATGCGAGCATAAAGGAAGAATTTGTAAAAAACTTTGAAATTCATTTATTGATTGTACATTTGAGTTATACGTTGTTTGGTTATTCGAAATTTATAAAAGATTTCATTTTCGTTAATTTATGAATCAAAATAGGGAACAGGACAAATTTGCCACACGGCACTTTTTTTAAAAAAAATTAATGGAGCGGAGCGATACTCTGCTGCAGGAGCCCCAAGGCTCCCAATCATTACGAAAGGGAGCCTCAGGGCTCCTGAGAATCCATCAGCAGAGGCCTTTTCATTTGGCCTCTGCTGATCAAAGATTCGGCGAAGCCATTCTTCGTCTCAGGAGCCCCAAGGCTCCCAATCATTACGAAAGGGAGCCTCAGGGCTCCTGAGAAACCTCTTTTAGAAGGTTTTCTTAAAGAAAACCTTCTCAAAGATGATTGTCAGCATTCACTCAAAATCTACCAAGAGTTTCAAAGTTTCAAATCTATCTGAAATGAAGCTTTGAATCTCTTGTATATCTAATTGTAAAGGTACCTTTTCAAAATGTCTTCTATTGATTAAATTTAATCAGTAAAAGTCATTTTGAAAAGGTACATCTCTATAATTGCTATTGAGCATTCACTCTTGGAACCTTGGAGCTCTTGTGTAGTGCATGAAAACTCCAAGATTCTAGCATAAAACATATATCATAGACATAATTTCTTCAAATATAATTTAAGGCTATTTTTTAAAAAAATGAAAAAAGCGTAATTTAAGGTTATTGAAAAGTGACACTTGGCAAATTTGTCCCGCACTCATCAAAATATTGTAATAATGGAGAATTTCGTTTGAATTTCGTATTGAATGTAGATTGCAATTGTAATGTTGATAAAATGATGTATAATTTGCTTAATTTGAGAGAGTTTGTAATAATAATCGAGAAATATGAATTTTGAATGATTAAATAGAGACGGGTTCATCAATGTAATCTGTTTCGAATCAGTATTTGATGTTCCCGTTCTCAACTTTAGCTGTTAATGAATACGTTAGCAGCATTCAACCATATTCATTCACTATAAATGAAAAGAACAAGTAGTAATTGATGATATATGAAAGAGTTACATCAATGATCATTCTTGCTAATTCCTCATTATTTTTAAAATATTGACATTATTTTATATTTTCACTTAAAAATAAGTAAATTCATTACAACTTAACGTAAAAATAACTATTGAAATAGTAAAAACGTGATATAATGATGTGAAATTTCCAAATTTTTTTCAAAAAATAAAAAATAAATTCAAAAATTGTTAAAAAATCTATGAAAATCATAAATCTAAAATTAATTTGGAATTTTTGAGTAAGTAGATCAAGTTTAATATTTGTATATAATGTTATTTCTGCGAAAATGTATGATTTTTCTCAAAAATTTGTAATCAATTTTGATAGATATTACCTTTTAAGATAAACCACTTATATATCATAGCAAGTGACTAATTTTAAAGATAAATTCTCATATATATCTCTTATAAAATCAACAGCTTTATTCAAATTTTAAATTCTTGACAATTTTAGATGAATGATTGGCCAAAATTGTTAATTTATAACGTAACGCAATCATTACTGGTGAAGCATTCTGTCTAATAATCGATTTATTGATATTTCTTTGAAATATGAGACAAAAAACTGTTTTTTCACAAATTATGCATATACACACTCATAAACATTACTATTTAAATGATATACCACAGCTATTTACCTAATATCTTAATCAATTTATGCAATTGTGATTTAACTCGATTTATATCGAATTTTAATCATTGAATAGATTTAGATTTCCTTAATACAATTCAGATCATCCATTATATTAATGATATACTAAATATTTCATAATAATAAAAAAAATTAAGAGAATTATCACATTTTATTATTGTGAATCATCACCTTAAACTATGTATTTATTAAAGGCCTCGTTGCAAACACAAATAATAATTGATAATATTTTTTATATTAAATACAATATATTTGGGCTAAACAACAGCGTTATTGTTATATTCTCGTATATGTTAGCACAAATAATATATTGTTATCTTATAAACACAATATTTTTTTTTAGAATTAAATAAGCATAATACTTTTTATGTATTAGCACAATAGCACAGTTACAAAACGTTAGTATTAGTATTAGGCTATCTGATTATATGTGAAAATAGTGAGAAATATCATAATTTGTCTTGCAATCTTCTAATTAATCTCATAAAAAAGCATAACATAGTATTTTTATTATATAAATAGATTGCAAATAGTATGCTTTAGTAGCGCCTAAAAAGTCAAGGATCTAAAATAACTCTATGGTGGGGAATTATGCATTTTAATGTCTATCGTCGTGATCGGAACGATTATTTTCGAAATAGACCGAAAGACGATTATTTTTTTCGAAATAGACATTCTCCCTATAAGGGCGCAAAAGTATGAATTTCTCATCATAGGAAATTAACGAAAACTTGAATTAGGTAAAGATACTTATCACGTATCTTCTTAATCATATTTTTGCCAAGCAATAATTTAAATTTGAAGAATGAATGCAATATTTTTTAAACACATATTTTCTTCTCTGGAACAATTCTGATCAGATGCATCAATCAATCTGACAACACTTAACGCATTGTAATTGGCTTTTTTATTTGCTTAATGAAACATCGGACTCCCAAAGAACTAATGTACTTAAATGACTAATGTAACAATTGGTCATTTTATTAAAAATTTAAATTAAACCAGATTCTCTCAAAATTAAATTAAAATTATAAAATTCAACAAATTGAGTTTCCAATTTAGCTAATTAAACCAGATTCTCTCAAAATTGTTGGAGATGGTACATTATAGAGACTGAAATCATGAAAATGAGTTTACAAGCTTTATTTTTCAAAAATAAACATAAATGTACAAAAGAAATTTATTTGGCAACAATCATTTGCTTATCATTTATAAGGAAATGAATGTGTAGTTACAAACAAGAAATAACATATAAATTATGAAGACAAAATAATTACAGGATAACTGTATTAACTGCATAAATAGATTTAGCATGCATTGTTGTATTTGCAGTTGTAGTTCTGGATGGAATTGTTTGACGCATTGAACGGGTTCCTGTCATTGTTATTGTTCGTGTTTGTGTTGTATTCTGCTTGCCATCTCCTGACTCCTCTTCTTGGTCGTTAGCTGATGCTGCAACTTGGCCAGCATTTCGCTTTTTGATAACAAAATAAGTAACAGAAGCAATGATACCAACAACAGCAACGCAGACCAAAGCGATGAATGCATAAAGCAAATTTTGTTCTGTATAGTTTGGCTCTGTAGTAACAGTAACATCCTGATACTGTTCATAACGCGATTCTGTAGCTAAAGGTGTTGTTGCAGCAATTGTTTGGAAAGGTGTTCTTGGAAGATCTACATCGAAGCTGTCATCTGGTAAATCCAACTCATGATTTTTCCTAATGAATGTAAGGAGAAAGAGCATCATTATTTTTTAATAACTTATAAACGTAAATGAAATTTTTTTCTCCGTTGACGGAAAAAAATAATAAATTTTTACATTTCCGGTCACCAATCAAATATCTTTAAACACGCAAGTAAAATGCCTTGATTTCATTCTGAAAATCTGAAAATTATCGCAATCGCGAATGCCATTACATTGCAATAGGGTAAAAAATACTCATAATCATATTAGAATACTTATGAAAAAGAGAAACAAACAAGTAAATTTCTTCAATACCTAGAAATTATTAAAATTAATTTTATTCATGACGAAATTGCTCCAAAATCAAGAATTTATATCTTATGTAAGTTAGAGATTATACATATCCTTTAATTTAATCATATTTCAACTTGAAATCTTGTCACTTTTTGCAAATTTCGCAAATTTTCGAGATGATTGATTGGAGCCCAGCGATATCAAATGAACTAAATCTTGGGTCATTGGGCCTTTCAATCGATTATACTTACCATCCTACTGCAAAATTTCGAGATTTTCCAGTTGAAACTAATGAAAGAAAAGCACTTGAACGTGTAGAGAAGTATAACAACGCAGAAAATGAAGAAAAAAACCTTGCAAATGATATGGCGGAAGTTTTGCTTACAAGTCACAACTTATCCAAAGATATGGCACAAGTTGAAAAGGAAGCTGAGGAAGATGCTAAAGTAGAAGAAGAATTAACCAAAAAAGCAATAGAATATGTCAAAAGAAGAGATGATTTCTTGATGAGACAGCGCTCTCGCCTATTTAATCACGAAAATTCACTCGATGAACCGGAAAAAGTCGAATTCGAAGATTCAATACCAGGCATTATCAAATACAGAAACTATTTATTTGACTATAAGCTGTTTATTGACAACCAACGTGAACTTATGCAACAAGAAAGGTCAGAATTGGTCTATGAGCTTAATCTTCTCCACAATGACCACGAGAAAATTAAAATGCAAGACCAATTCAACCAAGAAGACTACGAAATCATTCTAAAAAAGAGAGAAGAAATCGTAAAAATCAAAAAACTTGCAAATACGCCCGAAGGACTCTTTCAAAGACACCAGAAACTTGTGGAAGAAAGAAGAAAGCGTTTGCAATACGAATCTGAGAAAATGGTTGAAATTGAAAAACAAATTGAAAATACAAAGCAGTCAAATCAAGAATTACAGCGTCAGAACAGAAGAGCGGCCACAAAACTTAATAAAATTCGTGAAAAACTTAACAAAGAAATGCAAGAAGTTGAAAATAAAAAATCTTTATTAATGCAAAGCGTTCAGAAGCTTAATGAAGAGTCAGAAGCCATTAACAATGATAGGAGACGCATAAATAATATCAGAGAAATGCTCAAAGCTGAAAGACAAAAGATTATTGATGATATGGCCGCAATTGACCAGTATAAAGACTCTTTTCGTAAAGAATTCGCTGAGATTGCAATGGAGAAACAGAGGATGAGATCGGCAATTAATGCATTGATGGATAAAAGAAGAGAAATTCCGGCAAAAAGGAAAGAACTCGGTTTACCTGAGAAACCAGTTGAAATACAACAAGGAAATCCAAGTATTCTTAAGCAGGAGATCATATTCCTTCAGAGAGACTACGACGTGGCCAGAGCTCAGTTGAAAATGGAACAAGATGCAATTGAATCTCTCAAAAAGGTCGTATATCCGAAAGTCCAAAGAAACGAGAACACGGAACCGGTAAAGATATTCCCAGAACCTCAAAAACCAAAGCTAATCGAAGGAATCAGAGTTATTCCGGGAAGTGCCATGAAAACAAGCTCTGGACCAAAGATAACTCCTCCAAGATCAGGTGATACACAATTAGTCATATCTATCGGCCAAAAAGAAAGAAAAAGAATTCTCACAAAAAGTGAACCTGAAGAGGAACCAAAAAGTGACAAAAATATTTCGGATCAAAATCTTCCTGAAAACCAAGATACAAATGATACTACAAATAATAATGAAGAAGAAAATCAAAAATCTGAAGAAAATTTAGTTAGTGATCAGCAAAATAAGGAAGAAGGAGACCAAAATAATAACGAAACAGCAGAAAAACAGGAAGATAAGCAAAGTACTAATCAAGATAATGATCAATCAAACGAAAATGAAGAAAATGATCAAAATATGGAAGATAAGAATGAAGAAAACAAAGAAATATTAGACCAGCAAGCAGAAAAAGAGGAAATACAACAAGCGGCAATATCTGATGACCATGAAGAACAGAAAATTGAAAATAATGAAACTCAAATATAGATTCTGAAATCTTATAATTGTGATTTAATTTTATAAATGTTTAGTAGTTTTTTTTTGATATCTATTAATTACAAAACCATTTTCAAATTTATTTTTTTTTAAAAAATATTCCTAATTTCATTCATTTCACTGGATAATACCTATCTTATCAGATGTAAATAAGCATTTCATATATTAAGAATATCATTTTAATTCATAAAAAAAGGAAATTTGAAAATAATTTTGATGCTAGATCCTTATTCTAGAACTAGAAACGAATATATAAGATGCCTATTAAGAGATGAAAACCATCACCGTTAGCATATGGTTTCTACAATCATGTTTGTTAGTAAAGATAAAGAGAGATTTTTTACTAAAATTTTTTAACGTACACTAAAAGAATTTTTATATGACACGAAATTTTAGTATCTTTTCTGCACCAAAAACAACAGTTTTAAAGTCAAACGAGCTCATACAACAACCAGAGCCACCTAAGGAAGAAAAACCATTGCCTGAAAAGGAGGAAGTGCAGAAAATGCTTGATGAATTAAACCAAAAGAAGGAAGAGTTAGATAAACAGACATATGAATTACATGAATTAAGAAAGAAATACGAACAAGATAATGCCGAGCTTATAGAATTACGAAATCGAACAAATAAAGATATTGAAGCAATTTCGAAACGTGAAGAAGCGCTAAAATATCAACAAGAACGTTTAGAAACAGAAAAGAAAATGATTGAATTCCAAGATAGATCATTACGTGAAAAAGAAGAAAGATATCAAAAATATTTCAATAAATACATTCAAGAAAAGAGCGGTATGGTTCTTCAAGAAACATTATTAAGAGAACAACTTGAACTGACTCAAACACAGCTTGCAGAGACATTAAATTCCATGAAAAAAGATACAGATCAAGATGATCAAACAAAAGCTATGCGAGCAGATCTCGAAAACGAGAGAAGCAAACTTATGGAGCAGCTTGCAATGTTTCAACGCCAAAAAGAAGCATTTGATGAAGAAAAGGCTGTTTTTGAAATGTCAAAACATTATTATGGAGAAACTCCAACGAGAGATGCAAATACTGAAGCTGTTTTCATAGAACATGAGCGCGCAGTGTTAACAGTTCAACAAAAAAGATTCCAAGAAGAGAAAGAATTATTTGATGAAGCGAGATCTAAATTTGAGAAAAATTTTTCAGAATACTTAGCAAACAAAGAAGAACAAATCATGAGACAGCAACAATTAAAAGAAGAACAAGGAGATGTTGAGCTGCTTAGAAAAGCTCTTATTCAGTCGGAGCATGAAATTAAACAACAAAAAATCGAATTGGCGAAAATCAAAGAATCTTTCAAACAAGAAAGAGATCAAATAGATGAAGCATGGATGAAATTAAGGAGACAAGTTGATAAACTCAAAGATACAAGGCAGCAGATGGACTTAGAAAGGCAAAACTTTGATAAAGAGAAACATGAGTTCGAATTAGAAAAAGAAAAATTTGCAATTTTGGATCAACATTACACTCAAGTAGAAAACAGTGTTGATTTATTGTCTAAGAAACTTGTTTTAAAAGAAGCAAGATTGTTTAATGATATAGAAGAAGAGAAGAACTTGCAAGGTTTATATCAAGTCCATGATATGTTTAGGTACAAAGAACAAGAACTTAAAAAACAACTCGAAGATGCACAAAATGAATTAAGAACTGTAAAAATAAACTCTCAAAGAGAAATTTTAGGATACAAAAAGAAATTTTCAGAAATTAGTCTCAAAAATGAGAAATTAGAGCATGATCTCTCAGAAGCACATCATGAACTTTTGAAGGCACAAACTGAACTCCAAGAATCACAAACTGCAAGTGTTCTGTTGGGAGAAAAATTAACAAATGCCGTGAAAACTTATAATAAAGAAAAAGAAATGAGATTGAAGCTCGAAAATATTATTCAAAGGCAAATGATTAATGATAGAATCAGAGAACAAAATAAACCACAAGAGGATTCAAAAATAAGGAAACAAACTGAAATGGAGATACGCCAAAAGCTGGAAGAAGAATACCATTTTAAGTTCGAAGCTGCTTTGGTTCAAGCGAGAAAAGAAATTACAGAAGCAAAGAATAAGAGATTACAGCAACAAATTGATGAAGTGAAGGCCGAATATGATGTTAGATTTGAAACTATGAAACAAAAACTAAAAGAAAAAATGAATAAAACTAAATAAATTGTTTGTATTATTATGTTAATCATGATGTTTTTTTAAGTCCAGTTTTACTATTAATCAGTATTTGCAAAAATTAAATCTATGCAATGATGGCTAGTTCATAATTTCTCTTTTATATAGTTCAATCATAATATACAAGAAAAAAAATTTTTCAAAAATGAACATTAGACACTCTCTATACATAATTAATCCCTAACTAAAATATTCTTTTCTGTGCAAATCTAATATAATTGTTAAAACACCTACGAGGCGATCTCTTTCTATGCCAAGATTAATCAGAAATTGGAAAATGCATCTTTAAAATCATTCATTTTGTTTTCTTTACAAAATATTTGATAACAATATAAATACTGATTAAAGATTTAGTAAGTAGTGAAATATAAATAAATAATACAACATTTTACTACATTATAAACGAATTAGACATAGTAACATTAACAAATAAATCTGTAATTGTATTGAGCTTTGTTTCTGATGTAAATGGGAAAGACCTATATCTAGATCCATAATATACAGCAAACTCTTGTGAAACTTTTTCAGAAATTATGTCCATAATTTCATCATAAGAACTCATTCCTTCAACTAAATAAATATCAACATAATTTGTATTAATACACTCATGAACTGTAATAGGACGGTTGTAATGCTTGTAATCAACTCTAATATAGTCAATGTACGTTGAACTGACAGAAAATTCGTTATTACGAACATATTTTACAGTAGGAAAACGATTCAATTCCATGATTTTAGTTAAATCATCTTCGATGTATTCACTCTTTTCGTATTTAATTCCAGTGTAGTATTTCACTTCAATTATTGATCTTCGAGAAGGGAAAGAGAAAATGTGATCAGTATCCAAACTATAAACATTTTGTAATCTTTCAGTTCCTTCCGATTTCTTGAAGAATGATAATTTTCCATTTACTTTTGATGTCACAATTCTGTAATATTGAGTGAATTGATTCATATAAATACTCTTTGGAACTTCAAAACCAACAAAATCACTGTCAGGCTTTGTTAAATCTTTGACAAGTATTGTCTGTGAAGGGAACATTGTTTTGTACATAGATCTAAAGGTGGAATGACTATTGTTCATCAAATAAACATAAGAATTCATAAGATTTGAGTTTTCCAAAACATTTTTGTCAACAAATTCATTGATATTAGGAATATTTTCATAAATTGAATAAACAATTGGATCATAATTAGTATTCATATCATGATGTAGTTCTCCATCATGTATATTATAGATTTTTATGTACTTCTGGTAATTGATACCCAATAATTTCAAAAATGATTTATCTAATTTCATAAATTTGTCTCTTTGAAGGAATTTGTAGAAGAATAAGAAAGGAAAAGTGTTTTCTGAGTGAATGTAAACAAAGTTGTAGGTATCATTAGGATTATATGGTTCTTCTGATAAATGAAGATATAAATGACATCTGATGTCTTTTGCTCTTGTTTTTTCATCTAAAATTCCTTCAATTCTGTTTTTCTCATCAATTCTCCAGAGATTTACAAATTTACCGTTGATTTTTAATTGTTTCTTAATTTCTTTAATTATATCATCTCTTGTGTAATTCTCTGGAATATCTACTGGTTTTTGTGTTGCTGGACAAATAATGTTGAAATTGAATCTGTAACTATTCATCTTCAATCCTTCCTCTGTTTCCAAAAATATCTTTACTTTTCTAACATCATTTACTGGTTTATTTTGATTTTCTGAATTCACTCCTTTTGGTGTCGAACTTGAAAATCTTTCTGTTTGTCTTGAAACATTATATGTTTGTCTTGAAACAGTTTCTGTTAGTCTTGTAGGATTTTCTTTTGTGGAACTTGGTTGAGGATCATCAGAATCAAAAGATATGTTTAGTTCACGTTTGTTTTGAGGTTTTTCAAAAGGTTTTGGCTGTTGATTTAATTGGTTGTTATTACTTTGCATTCCCTGACTATTTATTTCATTTATCCGATCTAAGATTGAAAGAGGATCAATTCTATCTTCCTGAGAGGATTTTCTTTGTGTGTAATTTGGAGGGCTAATTCCAGTACCAGAGGATTTATTTCCAACCATTCTAGATCCTGGTTTTTGATTCAAGTTTGGTTTTTCTTCTTTAATTTCTTCAATTCCATGACTTTCAAATGGTTTTTGAGTGAGTTTTGAGTCATTTTGTTTTCCTTCTACAAGGAAGATTGCTGAAGGAGGAGTTTCAACTCTTTGTAGTTTTGGTAATACATTTTCATCAATTTTAATAAAAACTTCATTAATTTTATCCTTTCTCACGTAAAGCAGCAAATAAGCGTTTTGTCTTGGTCCATGTTCTGCAGCTCCAAACACTTCATCATTTGTAACAGGTCTCACAGCCATATCATTAAACTCGAACCATTGATTTCCTTTATCTGGTTTAATTAAGCAGTAGAAATGTCCATTTTTTACAATTCCGAAATGGACAATCACACAATACAAAGAGTATTCAATCAATCCATTTTGGGAAGGAATTTTAATTTCATCAAAAAATTCAAAAGGAGAATAAAGTTTCATTTCTTCTCCTGTGTACAAATCATAAGAATACCTCATTAATTGGATCTGTAGAACTGTTGGCATTTCAATGAACTCTGTTCCCAATAAAACATCATATTCTTTATCATCAATCTTGTACTTGTTATCTCCATCAAGTTTTTCTGGTGTTAAATATTTGGTTAAACTTTCATTGATAGTTTTGTTTCCTATAGCATCTAAAGAGATCTGTGAGAACTCTTCTATACTATCTATCTCTTTGAAGTCTGTGGGATTGATTGGTCTGATGAATGAACGACTTTTTCCAACAAAAATTGATTTGAAAATTTTGTTGATTTCGTCATTTTTCTTGCAAACTTCTTCTTCGATTCTGTTGATGATTTTGATGAAGAATTCTTGTGCATCATGTTGCTCGAATGCATGGAATTCGCTCCAGCCGAATGCTCTGATCAAATCATCTGCTTTAACTGCTTCTTTCGATGTTTGCAAATCAAGAAACATTTGCTGCAAACCACGAACTAGAATGTCATCAGTGTTTATCTGAAAAACAAGTTTCCTGAAGACAGGAAGATGGAAAAGAGCTTGGAGAAATGAACTCATGTAACATGTTGCTCCCAAATTGCCAATTCCAACATATTCAGCACATGATTTGTCATCTTTCGTAACTTGAACATAATTTCTTGTTCTTCTCGTAACAGAACTAATTGTTGATGAATTACTAGAAGAATTTTCTGTTCTACTTGGAGCAGAAGAAGGTGTTGATGCATTATTATTAGAATTTTTCATTGTACTCGGAGCAGAAGAAGGTGTTGATGAATTACTAGAAGAATTTTCTGTTCTACTTGGAGCAGAAGAAGGTGTTGATGCCTTATTATTAGAATTTCTTGTTCTTCTCGTAACAGAACTAATTGTTGATGAATTACTAGAAGAATTTTCTGTTCTACTTGGAGCAGAAGAAGGTGTTGATGCATTATTATTAGAATTTTTCATTGTACTCGGAGCAGAAGAAGGTTTTAATAAATTATTAGATGTTTTTTCTGTTCTACTTGGAACAGAATTGGGTTTTAATGAATTACTAGATGGATTTTCTGTTCCAGTTGTAACAGAATCAGGTTTTAATGCAGTGTTAGAAGGTTTTTGAGGATCTTTTGGAGAATCAATTTTATCATTTTTATTTTGCTGAGAAGCTAAATCATTATGAAGTGAATTGCGACGGGTTGATCCAGAAGATGAAGATGACTTTCTTTTTGTTGGCAAATCTGCCGAATTTTGTTTGGTATCAGAATCAGCAGTTAAAATTGGAATTTTCTGATCTCTTGCTTTAAATATTAAATCAATTTCCTTTTGGTCCGGTTTATCTGTGTTGTTTTGCACTTGCCTTCGAGGAGAATTTAGATTTTTAGCTAAAGATGGAGAAATTTCGATTTCATCGAATCTATCTGATTGTTTATAAGTAGACGTAGATTTTTGGACCGGAGATGATTTCGAACCGAAAGAAAATTCATTTTCATTAACCGTTAGATTCTTTTTCTGAGAACTTTGTGATAGTGATGAATTTTTTGGCTTTTCTACTTTTAATGTATCTCTGTTTTTCATTATTTCCTTCGGTGTTTCCACTGAAATATATGAAAAAGAAGATTTTGGACTTTTAGGTGATTTTTGTATTGAATAAGCTGTATTATTCGATGGACTTGTTGTACTAACCTTTAGTGAATCTCTGTTTGAATTTTCATTAAATCTATCAATAAGAAATGGGCTTGTGTATGTATTTTTTGGTTTTGCAGCTTGAAAATCTAGTGGATTTTCTAATTTAAAGTATACACGAATATGCTGGTTTTGTGTCACAGGATGTTGTAATTTCTGAACGAATGTTCTATATTTTGAAACCCATATTTGATTCCATTCCTCCTCGCTATTAATTCTGTAATATAAATTTTGCTGTTTATTCAACCCCGTCGTAACTATTTCAATCAATGGAACTTCCGAGACAGATTTAGGAGAAAGCGTTACTTTTATTGTTACATTTTCAATAGTTACTTCGGATGTTCTTACTTGTGAACTTCCAGGATACCAAAATAAATAAACAGATGTCATTTTTAAAATTTTGACAACACTTTTTTAAATTTTTTTTCTCCAATCAAATCAATTGCTGAATTAATTCTTAGTTTGCCAATATCTACAAAAACTGCGTTTAAATTTCAATTATTTACATAGGGATGCAATTTTGATTTGTAAAATTCCGGATCTATCTAATAATTGTTTAACTATAATAATAAAAAAGAGTATTAGCAACACCATAAGTTAAAAAGAAGTATAAAATTTTTTAATATTTAATTCCGCTTCTCTTCAAGAGTGCTTCCTGAGATGGATCTCTTCCCATGAAGTTCCTAAACTCTTCCTGAACAGGTATTGAGTTACCCTTTTCAAGGATTTCTCTTCTGAACGACATTCCTGTCTCCTTGTTGAAGATTCCCTCTTTCTGGAACCTGGAGAAGCAGTCTGCGTCGAGGACTTCTGCCCACTTGTATGAGTAGTAGCCAGCAGAGTAGGCAACAGGGGAAGAGAACAAATGAGAGAAATTATAATACATTGTATGGGTCTTTTCGCCGTAGAAGCTTCTGTATTTGTCGGCAACAACATCATCGATGGCGTCGAGGTCCATATCCTTGTATTTTTCGTATTCTTGGTGTAATGCGAAATCGATTCTTCCGAAATACAACTGTCTGACGAAGAAAGTAGCACTTCTGTAGTTCCTTGCTGCGATCATCTTGTTGAAGAGGTCATCTGGGATCTTTTCGCCTGTTTCCCAGTGTTTTGCGAATAAATCTAATGCTTCGCGTTCCCAAACGTAATTTTCGTGGAATTGGGATGGCAATTCTACGTAATCCCATGGGACACTCATTCCTGATAAGGATGAGATCTCTCCATCGTAGAAAAGACAATGAAGATTATGTCCGAACTCGTGGAAGATCGTAGAGACATCGTCGTGGGACAAAAGTGCTGGCTTTCCACCAATAGACTTATTTAAGTTGCAGTTGAGTGTTGACAAGTTCGGATCATTTGCTGATGGATGTCCAATGTGGAGTTCTGACATCCAACCGCCAGAGTGCTTGTCTTCACGTGGATAGAGATCGACGTAGAAGGCTCCGAACTTAAGATGGGTGTTGGAATCGAAGACTTCGAAGACTTTGACATCTGGATGCCAAACTTCGACTTTTCCTTCGACTTCTGGGGCGTCCTTCTCTCTTACGTATGTTGGGACTTCCTTTACATCGATGCCGTAGATCCTCTGTACGATCTGATACAATCCTTCGAGAACTTTTTCGGCTGGGAAGTATGGTTTGAGCTTCTCTTCGTCGAAATCGTAGAGTTCTACCCTCTGGCGCTCGGCCCAGTAGGCTGTGTTCCATGGTTTGAGGACAACATCTGGATTCTTCGATTTCGCATACTTGAGAAGGGCTTCGTTGTCTTCCATGTACTGGGAATAGCACTTGTCATGTAAGTCTTCGACGAATTTGAGGGCGTTGGAGCCGTTTTCGGCCATTCTGCGGTTAAGAACTAAATCTGCCCATGTCTTGAAGCCGAGGAGCTTGGCTTTTTCGTCACGGAGGGCCGTGATCTTCTTAACAAGCTCGCCGTTATCGTATTGGCCGCCTCTGCCGATTGTAAGATTCAAATCGTACATCTTCTTACGGAGTTCTTCGGAATCTGCGTGCATCATGACTGGAAGTCTTGATGGGTATTGAAGATTGAAGCGCCATTTGTCTGGTTGGCCCTTGTTTGTTGCATCTTCCTTTGCAGCGTCAATTGCGGACTGTGGAAGGCCTTTGAGATCATCTGGGTTGGTAACATAGATTTCGCCAGCCTTTGTGGAGTCCAAAACGTTATCAGAGAACTTCTTTGTCAAAGTTGATAATTCAACTGAGATTTCTGAGATGCGTTTCTTCTTGTCTTCAGAGAGACCAGCACCATTCTGCTGGAACTCTTTGATTGTGTTGTCAATGAAGCGCAATTCTTGTTTGTTCAAATTTTGTTCTTTAGATTTTTCTTGTTCTTTGGAAAGAACCTTGTAAAGCTTATCATTAAGGTAAACTGATGTCTCAAATTCGGAAAGAACTGGAAGAATCTTGGCGTAGGCCTCACGAAGTTCTGTTGTTTCCTTTACAGCGATCAAATGCGAAACTCTGTTAGAGAAAGTGTTGACTGCTGCGAAGAGCTTGTCGAAACGCCTGAATGTGTTGTCGTATGTGATTTGGTCGTCTGGAAGTTGAGAAATTTCATCGATTGCTTTATTTGCAAGATCAATTGCATACTTACCATCATCAAAAACATGATCTGGAGTCATTGTTGACCATTTTGGATAGTAAGACTCATCAAGGAATGGATGTGAGCTCATCTTTAATTTTGGCACTTTTCCCCGCAAAAATTTTAGCTGAACAACTTAATCAACAAAGATATTCGCAACGTCAATCTGTTTTCTCATTTACTATGAAACTCCATTAGGCCATTTATTAAGTTCTTTATGTATTTTTCTGCTAATATTGATGTAAACAACTCGAAGGATGCTTGCGAATTAAAATACTCTATTAACCAAACATAGCAAAGTTCTATGTATTACATAAGGTTTTGCAAAACTCGCTAACTTGTGCAATTTTTTAACAGCCATATTGAATTTCTCTTCATAAGTTTGTGATTGTTCTCTTCAAAGTTATGAAAAATATTTTGAATTGTTTTCCAGGGCTTGCCTAAGTAATCACACCCTTTGATTTTTTTTTGACTAATCCCCTCAATTTTAGAAAAAGTCAGAATGAAACTTTTGATTTTTTTTGATCTTCAAAATCCTTATGTAGTTTTTTGTTTTTGTTTTTTTCTGATTTTTTTTTATTTTTTTTGACTCGTTCATTTTTCATCAATGAGTTTTCCAGACTCATACCAATGTCCAATTACCAATTGTATGCACAAAGTAGTATATCAAGAACAAAACAAGGAGGCCTTTCTAAACTATGTTAACGAAGAAATCAAAGACACACAAAAGAAAAACACCAATAAATATTTTGCAATCCACACAGATAGATCATTAAAGACATTTGGTTTCAATGACCTTTTTGTTATTGAGATTGCTCAATGTTTTAGAGATTTTCCAAATCTCCAATATTATAAAATAGACACTAACGTAGAACAATACGTTAATCTTGAAGATGGATTTATCATTTTTCAACCTGACCATGATGTTAAGTCTGCAATCAAAAAACTAATAAAAACTCAAGGTATTCACATAATTTTCTATGATCTAATGCATGAATACCCAGTCCTTGCATCAAATGACATTCGCATCTATATGACATCCAGCAAATTAATTGATACTATCATTAGAAATGGCAAAACCAGCTATTCTTTTAAGTATTCACTAGAAAAAGCCGTCTTATCAATCAATTTTAAATGCATGGAGAATATAGGTGCCATCAAGAATCTTCCAGATGTTGATTTTCCTAAATTAATTTTCGAATGTCAAAATAAGAGTGAAGAAGAAGTTATTGACACATACAGAGAACTTCTTCCATACTACTCTTCACGTGCTGCACTTGTTGCACTTTCAATATTCCCAGTCATTCAAAGCTTCACAACTCTCTCAAATATAAATAATACAAATCAAAAAGTTATTAATAGAATATTATATGAAGAGTCTCAGGCTAAGTATGGAAGTGTCCTTGTTAAGCAACTTACCATTGCTCATTCATTACTCAATAATATTGAAAAGCATCCCCATGCTAGCTGGCTTTTCATCGAGAACTTACTCGTACAAATAGATGACATTCCAAAAATTAAATCAGATTTCAAATATCTTCCAGATCTCCAGGAACTTCGCACATTTTGTCTTAAAAAACTTGGTGTCATGAAAGATGATGGTTTGCCACCACCAGAATCACAATCATTTACCACATCTTCACCGTTTTCTACGAAAATGGCGAAATTTAAAATCACTGGAGAACTTCATGACCTTTTGAGGTCTCAATATCAAGAACTGGTCAGTGAAAGGGAAGGAAAAACAGTTGAGTTCGAAGATGTTATTGAGTCATTTGAAAATCCTTTATTGATGACATGTTTGGAATCAATCTCTGAAATTCCAACGAAGTCAATACGTGATGAACAATATCAGAAAGTTTTTGAGGCTATTATTAATTCATCTAATTAAAATATATATTTTTTTTAATCTAAAAGTGTATTTATGTCAGAAAGACATCGCCTTCAATAATAGTGCTTAAGGTTAACATCCAATGACTTTTAATGTCAATTAATTAAGAACTATAATTATAATCATAGTTAGATTGATGTAATTTGCGCTAACCATTTTCCGACATTATTGCAATTCATAACTATAATATTAAATTCAAATTATTCATTATATAATGAAGCAAATTAATAATTAGTCATCTCAAATAATTTAGAGAAAACCAGATGGGTGTATTCTTAAACACTTCCAAAATAAGTCAAAAATGTCAAATATAAAGTTTTTAAATTGAATTTTTATGTATTCAGAGTAGCCATTAGATATAAATGAAAAATTAAATATATTAATCTTTGAGTATTTCGCCATGAGGACCATATCTGATAGGAGGAGGCCTATTTTGTCTGTCTGGATGCTTATGACTATTGATTTCGCCTGGATTGAGAGTTCTTACAGCGTCATGCGAAACAAGGAATTCTGCAATTACATTTTTATTTTCATTTAATGCTCGTGCAAGAACTGTGACACCATCATTGTTGACTGCATTGACATCTCCACCATGTGAAATCAAGAATTCTGCAATTTGAGTTTTGTTTGCCCATATCGAATAGTAAAGAGGAGTTTGTCCTTTGTTATCAATATCATTTGCATCTGCTCCATGTGAAAGAAGCAGTTCTGCAATTTTGACGTTGTTGTTTTTGGCTGCTTCATGGAGTGGTGTTGCCCCAAAACAATCTAATGAGTCAACAATTGCTCCATATTTGATAAGGATTTCTGCAACTTCAGTTGCATTATTAGCTGCTGCTTCGTGAAGAGGTATGCGACCAAAACGATCAGTCAATTTTTGATCTGCATGATTTAATAGCAATGTTAGACATGCTTCAACAGAATTATTTTCCGCTGCCAAATGGAGTGGATATCGGAATGGAAAACAGACAGAATTGACATCAGCACCTTTTGAAATTAAAAATTCCAAATTTTCTTTGCAATTGAATTGAACTGCATGATGAATAGCACAAGATTCGAGTTTGCTTTTAGCATTAATATTAACTCTATGAGTTAAGAAGTATTGAGAAACTGCAGGGATATTGAAAGATGCAGAGTAAACGAAAGAATTAATCAAATCTGATGTTTTCTCGTAATACATGAAAATTGCTTGCAAATTGTTTGCAAAAAGACTATCAGATAAGTTAATTTCTATTTTGTGCTCATTAAATAGATACAAAATGAAATCAATGTTGTGTGATAAAAGAGCTCCTCTCATTGATTTGTAATCGGGCTTCTGAACTTTGCTGCAATCACTAACAATATCAAGATTTTTGCCAATGAATGAAAATTGAGAACAAAGTTTTGTAACAGGTAAATGAAGTTCTGTCATCAAATATCTGAAACATTTAACAGCACCATGATAACAACAAATTTCAAGTAATGTGTAACCTGAATCTGATTTCGGATAGAAATCACTGATGATCTTCTGATCTTTATCAAAATCATCGCCATTTGTTATTGAAATGAGTAATCTATTGTCATCTTCCATGATTGCGCTCCATATTGTATTTGGTTTATGAACATCCAATGAATAATGGTGTGAATCATATAATTCGAACTTTTCTTTGCTCTTTTCGTTTAAAACCAATCCATATTCTTTGTAAACAAAGTAATCGAAAAGAGGATTGATAGAACAAACGTTCTTTGGACGGTATTCTTCATATATCATCTTGAAAAGAGCCTAGTATACCTTGAAATAACGATTATTGTATGTAGCAATGGTAGAAAGTAATCCTAGAACTTGAGATGGCATATAAATCTTTGTTTCAATAAAATTCCTTTTGATTTCGGCTAAAATTTTATTGACTGCATCTTCATTGAAGGTATGCAAGGTGTATAATTCGTTGACCGTGTCGATGTATCCTTTACACAATGAATAAAGTTCGCTATAAGGACCTGACATCAGAAATGAAAATGAATTGAAAGTTCAGAAATTTCGGAATAAAATCCTTTTTAAAATATTCAGCCAAATAAAACAAATATATTTATATCAGATCCAATTGTATATGAAGTGAAGTGAAACTCTTTCAATTTCGAATCGTTGTACAAATGAGTTCACATTTATAAATATATGCACGTTAACTAGAGAATTTTGTACAACTGCAATCATATAGTATATTATGGAATTTTATCAAATCCAATTTCAAAACTTATCTTTTTTTTATACAATGATTTCGACATCTCACATAGAACTAGCTAAATTGGCAATTTACCTCTTAAAAGGCCCGGAATTTATAAATTCAAATAATCGGTATATCAATTTTTCTAAAATCTGGCTTTGAAATGTATGCTAATTGTATCAAATACAAGCACCATATTATTATGCTAATAGTCCATATAAAAACCTCCGAAATTCTTTCAATTTCATAGAAAAAGCGGAAAAACAAAGAAAATTAACTATAAACATAAATTTTTTACATTCTATACTATTATAATTCAGGGATATCCTTGACATGGGATAATCTCCTACTGATTTCTTCAGTATCTTTATCAGATTCTTCATCTTTGTTGTCTCCAAATCCAGCATCAGTTTCAGGAATCAACACGAAAGCTCCAAAGACAACAGAAGCGAAAGAAATTACGGCGAAGAACATAAATGTCCATGCAGTTCCAATTAAATCTTGGAAAGTAGGAAGGATATAAACAACAACACCTCCTATGAACCACTGTGCAGCTGTTGCAATACCCATTGCAGAGGATCTCACTTCGACTTTGAAAAGATTTGCTGTTTTTGCAAAAGGAATCGGTCCTGTTCCAATACCAAAAGTGAACTGTTCTAAGAATAGTCCGACCATGAAAACAGCGGAGTGTAGTTTGAACTTCTGGAAAGCCCAAAGGAAGAGAAATGCAACCATTTGGCCAATTGATGATACTGTCCAGCATATTCTATGGCCAAATTTATCAACAATAGTTGATGCAGCAAGAGTTGCAAGTAATTGAGCGATGGTTGTGCAAATTGCGACAATTGAAGTCTGAACATTCAGTTTTGCCTCTGTAATAATGGAATTGAGGTTGGAAAGAACCGCATTTACACCACTGAATTGAAGGAAGAACATTAAGAAAATGGCAATTACAATTTGCTTTGGCCAATGGAAAACTTTCTTAAATGATGTCCTGAGTAATACGGCTATCGGCTGTGGAATCATCAATGTGAATATTATTTGAATTAAACAAGGAACTGCGCATATTCTTGCTAACCAGGCCCAGCTTACCATATTTCCAAAGATATTAATAGTGAGATATCCGACAGAGTAACCTAATTGGTTCATGAAAGCGAAAAGGCCTTTTTTATCAATTGGAGCAATATCGACTATGAATACGGGTGCAACTGTTGAATAACATCCAACAGCTAATCCTGTAAGGCATCTAAATACGAACGCCATAATTTTATTTACTGAAAATGAAAGAGCGATCCAAGAAGCAAACATAAAGCAAGCATTTCCGAATAAACTACTTCTATTTCCGAATTTCGATACAACGGGGTTGATTCCCATGGATCCGACCATGGCAGCAGCAAATCCTGCGACGTTAAACCAAATTTGCTCTGGTTTCGAAAGTTTGAATTTATCTGCCAATTGGAAGGTTGTAGGTCCAGTGAAACCTAACCCTAAACCCATCTCCATACCACTAAGTGCTATAATGATTCCGCATATATAAATATTTTTAATCTGTGGTAGAACCATTGAACAAATATAAAAATAGAATTTGAATAAGTATTCAATTTCATTTCTGCTTATTGAATCGAATATTATCTTCATAGCACAACAATTATTTTTCTCAAGCATTGAATCCAATTATTTCAATTTTCAAAGCGAACCATCAAATTGAGAGCTCTTCATAGTTTTATCATAAATGGTCCGACAAAAGAAATTCAACAAAACATTCGATACACTTGAAATGATAAAATTTGCAAAGAAAAAACTCATCGGTTATTTATAAAATTGTTTTTCTTTAAACCCATATGGTAACTATCTTAATAATTGAAATCATAATTATTTCTTAAATTTATTCACATTTTACAGATTTGAATATTTAATTTCGAGCCACAGAGACCCAGCAATATAACAGAATTATTGTAATTTATGTATATATAATGTGGCCAACTTCCAAACAATTTGATTTCCGAATGTCATTCATTGTGAAACAATTTTTGTAGTTGAAATTGATTTAACATGATAACCTACGAATAAACTATATCAACAATATGGCAACTATATATTTTTGCAGTAATCATGATTATTACAAGCTGAAATTATAAAGATCTACTACTTAAAGATATAATACAATGACAAAATCTAAATTGTGGATGTGAAATAATGTGAGTGGAGAAATGTCATACCGATATAACCATTATGCATTCTAAAATAACATTGTTATTGATTGAAAATCTTAGATTTCTCATAAATCATATCCAATATTATTGATTTAAGTCTCTCATAAGCAGTACTTTGAAATACTATGCACATGGTAGCAGAAAGAATAGAATTGAGCTCAATTTATGAAAATAAAAAAGTGACAGTTGAGATGCAAGAGCAGATTTTAAAATTCTCTCAACTCTCACTTTTGATTGCAGCAAAAGGAGATAAAGGGGATTACATTACTGCATCAACAATGTTTGATGAGAATTCATTTATTTTTGGAACATTTCATGGAAGAATTGTAATTGCTGAGCTAAATGGAACTCTTAAACTAGAATTAGTTCATTCAGGAAATCAAGTAAATTCACTCAGTCTTACTAATGATAAAAAATATCTACTTTTCGCAGATTCTCAAAAAACTTGTTATATTTACTCAATTGAAACACAGAAACAACTTCTTTTTGTATCCCACTCAGTACCTATTGTTCATTGCGTTTTAGATCCACTTTTCAACGAAAAAACAGCTCCAAGATTCTTTATTTCGGATTTATCAGGAGCAATATATCAATACACACCAAGATTTTTATTTGGGTCAAGTTTCAGTAAGCTTGTTGAACCTCAACAAAAAATTCAAAATATGATTTGGTTTTCTAACCATTTAATCTATACTACGAACGTATCATTATTTGCATACGATATATCATCTCAAAAGAATACGTATTCTATAAATCCTCCCTTTTTGAAATCGAAAATCGAACATCATTGTTCATTTGTTCCTTTATCACCAGAAAAGATCGGTATTGTATTCGGAAATTACTTCTATGAATTATCATTCGATAAAACACGTTCAGTTTTCTTCAATCTTACAAAAGATGCAGTATCTCTTGCTTATTCAAAGAACAGTTCATTAACTGTATTTACAACAAAGACAGACCAACAACTAATACTTGTAGATCAAAATTACACAGCGGATTCTGTTTCTCCGCCTTCTGCAGAACCATTAATTTTATTATCTTCCGCTCCAAACGATTCCTTCCTTTTTGTATATCCGAAATCAGCATTTATCGCATCCTTTTCATCGTGGGATGAGCGGATCAAGAATATTTTGTTCCAATGCACAGATGACGAATGCATTTCTCATTTAAAGGGCTGGCTGAAGCTTATTGAAGAATCCGAACGCTCCAATCTCATTCTTGCTGTTTGCCATCAACTAATTTCGAAGAATTCCCTTAAAAAAGCTTCAATTCTTTGTAGTGAATATTTGAAAACGACGGACGAGTGGTGTTCAGCGATAGAAATATTCCACGCCAATGGAGTTCTCCAGCACCTTACAGATTATATCCCAGAACGCGTCCTTGCCCATACAAAACGAAATGTTGACATATTATTGCATCTTCTTGAGGCAAATCCATATCATTTCTGCACGGTATTTGCATCTCTACCTCCGGAGAGCTTCGATGCAGAGTCATTGTTGCTTCCTGTTCAAATGCGTGCAAGAACTGATATGATTTTCAATATTCCTTTGATACACATCTACCACAGACTGAACAAACACAATGAAGCATTCCTTACTGCATTAAATGCTAAGTATTTGTCCATTTTCACCGATATTGAGAAAATTGGAGATTATCACTTCCCTCTTGAACAATTTGACAGACTTTACGAGTCATTTGGCGGCTTATTCACTGATTTTTTGATCCAGAATCACGAAAAACTGCCTCCAGCCATCGTATTACCCAAATTTTCCCAAAATCGTCGAAAAGAAATGCTCGAATACATGCACAAGCTCTTCTGTCTGGATGTTCCTTTACCAGATGAGTTCAGAACAGAGCTTGCCATCCTATACATTGAGTTCCACCACCCAGCAACGATGAAATTCCTTTCTACCGGCCAATTCTTCAATTATTCACGAGCATGGTCAGCCGCGAACAGGGAAAAGATGTGGCCAGAAGCAGCATTCCTTGCTCGCAAGACCGGTGCCGTTGTTGAAGGAATGAAGATACACTTGGAGAAGATAAGAGATCCAAAGAGAGCTGTTGAATACGCAATTGCAGCCGAAAACGACAAAGTTTGGCAGATGTTACGTGATGCAGCTTATTCTGATGTTGACTTTCTTACATATATGCTAGATATCCTTCCTTCTTTGCATATAGAAGCTGTTGACTTCGTTAAACACATTCCGGAACCAATGTCAAGGAAAATTGACATTGCTTCTCTCTCTGCAAACACATTGAAGGAATTCAGGTGCAGACTTGCCGCTGTTCAACTGACTACGAATATCATTGCTGGAGCTGCTTTTGATAAGTTTAACAGTCAACTTAAATCAGCAAGAAGAGCAAAGATTGTAAGAAATTAGTTAATTTTTTTTTAAATGTTTATTGTTTTTATTTACCGTATATAAAAAGGTCCAAGGAATTATTTTTTGACCAAGGAATGCTATCAAAACATTATCGACATTATTCATATTAAAAAAAAGAAGGATTATTATTTTCGTCTGGAAAAGTGACAAAATTATCATTTTCGTCAGATGAAAATGATAATTTTTTATTTTCAGGGTCATGCTAAAAAGATAAATTTATGAGATTGCAATGCAATGATACTTACTTGAATTGCAATGCATCTATTAGGAAATTTTGGTGAAAATAAATTGAATAGTTTGAGTTTATGATTTTGACTTCGCTAAAAAAATAAACTGGAAAATCACAAAAATTGAAACAATTTGAAGTTGGAACTAGAATGATAACATGCACAAGGAGCTATTAAATAAAGTTGTGTATGGGTAGATTGCGCATAAATTATTAGAAATAGAGTTATAGTTCAATAATTCAGATGCCAGACGAAAATGATAATATGAATTTTTTTTAATTTGAATTATTGTAGATACTTGAAATAGACAAAAGTATTTATTAAATAAAAATGATACCATATTCCGCTTATTTTTTGACGCTCTGCCAGTGGTTTGAATATGTGCCGATCATGTTTTGATAGCATTCCTTGGACAAAAAATAATTCCCTGGAATTTTTTGTCGACAATATTTGTATCCAACAGTTTAACATCCTATTTCCAATATCAATTTTGGCATTTACAGCATTTACTAAATCCAAATCCATCCCATATTCATGAAAAACATTTAGCAAATTCTGAATATTAATGATTTTGGATTTTCCCTGTTATTAATAAGATGGTTTCAAATTGAGGGACAATAATGCTATTCAAAAATCATTTCACCTCATCAGAATTACGTTTATACATTTTCCTATGAATTTATGCATGTAAAGCTGTATTCTTCATTCATAAGCATAAATCATAATTTGGAAGACTCCATTCATGTATTTCATATTATTAGCCAAATCGATAATCGTTTCACTTTATTCAATTAACTCAAAATATGTCAAATTAACGTGCTTTTATAATGAGCAATTTAATTTAGTAATTTTTAATAGTTATTAATCATAGTAGTATATTTTTGACTCGTAATATGAGTTAATTTCACCCACTCGTAAAACTCAATTATTATGATTAATTTTATAATTCACAAAGTATTTAACATTAGACATCAACCATTCATCATTAAAAATACGTATTTGCCGATTTTCAATTTTTGATTTTATAGAATTTCTTTAAAATCAAGTTAATTATTGGAAGAATGTAACTATTATATACTAGAAGGCTCAAATTTCGCGAAAAATTTTCTAAAAGTATTAACAATAATCACATTACCCAAACCGACATGATTATTCACAATATCAAAGAAACATAATTGAATACTTTGCTCACAATTTTTCTGAGTTAAAAGAATAGACTATAATTTTTAATGTTTTTCATATATAGTTTTGAGAACATCTGAAAATAGAATTTCGAATTTATATATTTAGACTCAAATTTGAAAGAACCTCAATTTTCAATCAGTTCACTTTTAATGCTTTCTCTCCTTTTTATTGCAATTCATTCTGTAGAATTAGATCACATAGATGGTTGCACCAAATCGGGTTCAGTGAGGGCCCGTAGTTCGGGAGGAGTTGCCGCTTGGTATGCAGATCTTGGCAGTAATCTCCAGTGCTTTATTGGCAATTTGATGCTTTTCTCAGATATAGAATTCACAGTTACTTATAAGATTGTAACATATAATAGTGAAACAAATGATTATTCATATTCAGAAGTGAAAACAGTAGACAATCCTCTGGTAATTTGCGGAAAAGGAGATCCATTGATTAGAGTTGATGCAAAAGATAAATCACAAAGTGCAAAGTTATATTTCTACGGAGTTTTTAACACAGTCGTTACAGATGATTTAATGACATTTGGCGTATTTACAACTCAAAGCTCGCTTGATTTCAATTTTCCAATCAATAAAGCGAGGCAACTTAATTTTGTCGCTGTAAATAAAAATCAAATTAAACTACAAGTCATAAATGGTGAAGGAAATTCTTATAGATTGTTTAACTCTGAAACTCAATCATATTTTGATAGTGAAAGAGGAAACGATATTAGAGTCCGATCTGAATCAGAAAATACCGAACTTTCAAATTTTACTATTAAGATCTCAAAAACAAGCGATGAATCTGTATCTGAATTAACCGCTCCATATAAGAATGATCTTTTCTATATTATCCCTACCGAGGGTAGTTTCACTGAGCAGGAATTGCTAGCATATACAAAAACAATGAAAAGCAGTCTTTATTTGAAAGAAGATGAAGAAGAAGATAATAAAGGCAACGATGACGATGATGACAAAGGCAACAAGGATGATGACGATGATAACAAAGACAAAGAAGATGATAATAACAAAGACAAAGATGTTCTGTTCAACAAATACATTGCCCAATGCAAAGAACAACAATTACAGTCACCGAGCATGAACCCTAAAAGTACTGTTTTCTCTATTGAAGCAGGTAAATATCAATGTATTAACAGAGACTATGCTTTTGCTTCAAAAGATAAATTTATTGTTGAAATGTACAATATATCATCAAATGAAACCGAACCAACAAATGTATCAAATCCATTTAGTATTCTAGGTGGCTCACCATATTCTATTATCAAATGTACTGACAATACAAAAGGATGTAAAGTTCATGCAATTACAATTTATAATCTTGGACTCAAAGGCGAAGTACACCATATCTTTACAACAAAGAGCTCACTCGATACCACACAAGATGTGAAGATTTCCAAGGATTCAGCAGAGTATTTTGTTTTGACAGTCCATGGTTCAGAAAACAGAAAAGTTTCAGTAGCTGGCGATTCTGATGATGTTTTTTATGAATTATACAATAGTGAAAATGCCAAAAAAGGTAGTGAACTAACAGGAAAAACTATTGCTGCATTACCATTTATGAAGGAAGGTGCGGATTCTGGAGAAGGAAAATTCATCATCGAAATATCCAAAGCTAAGTCTTCTTCAGCAGAAGCATCAGAATCTTTATTTGAAAAAGATCTAATTTATGAAATTCCTCATGGTATTAAAACAGAGACAGAAGTTCAAGCTCATTCTAAAAACAGTAAAATTGGTGCTGTGAATGGCAGCGATAAAGGCGGTCCTGGTGTAATCATTGGAATTGTAGTTGCAGTTATTATAGTAATCATCATTATCTGCGTTTTAGTTTGGTTCTTCGTCTTTAGAAAGAAATCTGATGATAAGAAGGATTCAGGATCTGGTGAAAAAGCTTAAATACTCGTAATCATTTGGAATAGGAATAAATCAAAATTTTTGAAATTTAGACCTTTTTTTTTGCATTTAGATATCATGTTTTGACAGCAATAAATTTCCCTAATTTATTAACATGATGAAATTTCAAACCCTGATGACAAATAATTATGCAATGATAATGTGAAATTTAGCAAATAACAAGGTATAATGAATATTATAAGATAGTAATGCACTTATCATTTATGTTGTACAGTCAATCATATTCTCCTTAGATACTATGATGGAAGAAATATATATAATAGATGATAGACTTAAAGTATCAAAATTAAAATTCAGAATTTTCTGTAGTGTTATGAAAAAATGTATTTAAGTTCCCTTTAGATATATAATGACCGACACAAATATTTAAATGCAAAACTAAATTGATTGGTCTTTTACTTGGAATGCATTAAATAATAATAATCAAATAATTGTGTTGTAAAAAGAAAATTAAGAATAGAAAATAATTTAAACCTAAAATATGATATTATATGAGTAGACATATGGCTCTAAAATTAGAAATTTAGCAGCAACCACCTTTCTTCTCAGTTTGTGAGTCTTTATCCGGAGTATTGACTTTAGAACGGCTAACAACTTTCATGCCATCATCTCCATTGTACATTTTCATGAGTTCGTCGACGAGTGTTGTGAATAATTGTTTCACTCCAGTTCCATTGCGAGCTGATGTTTCCATGTAGATACAATTGTTCTTTGTAGCCCATTCCTGAGCTTCTTCTTTTTCAACAGCGCGTTCTGGTAAATCAATTTTATTTCCAACCAAAAGAACAATTGTATTTTCACCTGCAACGCTACGAAATTCGGAAACCCATTCATTAATATCATCAAAGCTCTTCCTGTTTGTGATATCAAAGACGACAAGAGCGGCAAGTGAAGATCTGTAGTAGATTGGGCCTAAGCTTCTGTACTGTTCTTGTCCTGCAGTATCCCATATTTGAATTTCTAAATCATGACCATCTCTGTGATCTGTAAATGACTCATATAAAGTACCAATTGTATTTGGCTCCGCAGGATCGAATTTGTCTTGCAAGAATCTGTTAACAATACATGTTTTACCAACACTGGAGTCACCAATAGTAACAGATCTGAATGTGATCTTTTCTTCTTCTATCAGCATAATTTTTTTTCAGTACGATAAAAGATTTTAAATTTTAAATTTTTCAATTTTTGAAAGAGTCTGTTCGAAATTTATCGAAAATGGATAACAAAGAATTTTGCCATTCACTTGAAAGTGTTATTTTCGTTGATCCAGGAAAAAGAGGCATTTCTGAGTTCTGGACACATGGATGCTTATATGAAGCTGCTTCAAGAATTTTAAAGCAGCCAAAGGATAAGAAATCTTACGTTTTAACAGGATTCTGCTGCATGAATAAAAACTGTGAAACAGATGGCCCAATTGGAACATCTGTTCTTTGCAAAGTTTTAAGAGATTTAGGTTTCAATTCCGAAATTCTTTGTGACCCATGTTCAAAGAACGTTGTTGAAGCTGCTGCACTCGGACTGCCTGTTGTTTGCGCTTCAAATGTTTCCGAACTTGAATCCGATCTTTCTTTCGCAATTTCAATTGAAAGACCAGGAAGAACGATCAAAACTAACGATTACAGAACAATGCGCGCAAGAGATATAAGTGATGTTACAATGCCACTTGACTATTTGTTCCCAGCATTTAACGATGAAACTCAGAAAAAGAATTATCTTACAGTTTCAGTTGGCGATGGCGGAAATGAAGTTGGAACTGGAAATGTACATGAACAAGTTGCCAAATACGTTTCAATGGGCTCAGATATCAATACTGTTACAACTTGCGATGTACTTGTCCTTGCAGGCGTTTCCAACTGGGGAGGCATCGCTATTGCTGCTGCTCTTGCTGTATGCAGTGATAATATTGAGATTGCTAAGAGTTTCATCGAAATTTGCGGTCGCCAACGTGAAATGCTCGATAAAATGCTAGAACAGGGCTCATATGATGGAATTTCTGGCAAAGTTATTCCTGTTGTTGATGGAATGGAATTCGATAAAGAACATACAGAAATTAATAACAAATTAATTGCAGTTGTCAAAGAGAAGTATCCTTCTCTTTCCCAATAAACACATATAGTTTTATACAATACATACTTTACTTTTTAAATTAATAACAATTCAAATAAAATTAATATTTTGTTTTGAGCTTTGGTTTTCTATCTTTCTTTGAGGGTACAGTAACTATTTCATTAACAGCTTCATCTTCTTCATTTACCTTTGTTTGCTTTTTCTTTTCTTGGATATCATCTAATTCTTCGAGAATTTCATCATCATTTTGGTCAGAAATCTGTGGTTTTGCATCAACAGATGGTGTATCAGTGTTAATTTGTTTTGAATTCTTTCTTGTCAGAATTCTTTTATTTGCATTTTTCGGTTTAATAACAACTGGCCTTTCAGCTTCAACCTTATCATCTCCATCATTTGCATCTTCATTATCATCGTTGTTACTCTTTGGCATTTGAGCAATTTCGTCTTGTCTTTTTGAAATCACTCTAGAAACGAATTTACAAAGTGTTAAGATAACTTCCTGCGACGATCTCTTATCAGATATAACTATTGATGCCAATGGAACAGAGTATTTCAAGATATCTTCAATTGACATTTTATTTGACATTAGCAAGCTTAAAATCTCTTCAGAACACTCTTTAGACGGGTATTCTAAATATCTTTGACCAATTAAATTAAATGTTTTCCTTGAAATATATTCATTTTCAATATTTTTTGTCATAAATTTAATTGAACGAACAATTAAAGTTAATGTATCATTATCCATTTCATTAGGAGTACCTAAACTAACAACAAGTCTTTCAAATATATCATTAATCAATTTCCTATCACTATTTCCATTTTCACTAAGTATTTCTATGAATTTTGGAATATTTTTGACACTTTCAATTCTTAATCTTTTATTTCCATTATCAAGAGAAGCTTTGAAGACAGGATAAATGACATCGAAGTGCATTTCAGGAGGTATCAGCTCCAGTAATATCTCGAAACACGAAAATAGAGCTAAAGGAAGCTCAATTGGGTTCGTTACAGAAAAATATTTTGAAATAATTGGAAAAATTGTTGTCATAAACTGATTTTGGCCAATTTTATGACCAATGTTAATCAGAAGAGGCACAACAGCAGGAGAAAACCTTACATCATGTTCTAATTCATCAATCAAGAAAGGAATTATCTTTTTGTTCATTAATCTTACAGACAAATTCGGAATAATTTTAAACAAACCTTTCAAGAAAGCGAATTTATCTTGTGGAGACTTAGAAAATGCATTATCTATATAAGTATAGACTTGTGTAGTAACAACACATATTCCTGTGCATTTCTTAAGTTCACTAAAACTTGGTCTATCATTTGGATCATCATCAAAACAAGCAGCTAAAGCTTCTCGAGTATCATCTTCAATTGTTCGAGGAATCAACGAATCTGTGTTAATATTGGGACACTCGTAAATCGTTCTACCAGCAATCAATGAACAAATCAATGATGAAAAACTAAAAACGTCACTTTTAAGTGTCACGTTTTTAGAATTAAATTGTTCAGGCGACATGAAAGAAGAAGGAACATTTAGAGGGGAAGAAGAAGGTTTAAGGACTAATACTGATTTCTCATCTTCTGCTATTTGACACGCCCATGTAAAGTTTGTTAATTTGACTGAGAAATCGCTTGTTAAACAAAGAGAATCTGGACTTAAACAGAGATGAGCAATTTTGGCAGAATTATGGAGAAATTCGAGCGTTTCGCATAGTTGCTTTGCAAGATAGAGTATTTCATCACGTGATAAACGCGTATCTAGTGTAATGCAAGTCTCTACTGGCTCGGAAGCGAATGATAGTGCTGGTGATTGTTCATTTATTTCGAGAATTTTTAGAATGTGAGGATGTAACAGTCGCTTTTGCATTTGGAGACCAGATAAACAATTTTTAACGTATGTGTCAATTGTAGCTTGACTTTTGACTTTCGATTTTAGTGTTTCTATATCTAATTGCCACAAACAGACTTTTTCTTGAGTAGATTTCTTAACTGCCGAGTGAACTTTCCAATAATTTACATTAAAACATGGTGTAATCTGGTCATAGTTATCGGAAACCCAGGCTCCCATTTAAAATCTTGTCACTTTTCAGATTTTGAGATTTTGTTTTCCAGATCTTCTCATAGATTGAGATAAAGTAGATATGACTTTTCTTATACAATTTATTGCATTGCCACAACATGTTGATAAGGGCAAACTCATCTTTTCCGGATTTGAAATCAGAATTTAAGCCATGCCAGTTTATATTAACAAAGTCGAAAACTAATTTAGCATATGCAGATTATATTCTATTTGAAATCAAATATTACATTTTTTTTGTCTTCAAATTCATTATATTTTCTCAAATACTAAAAGAAGTTTACTATTTACATCAATTGTTAAATTTTAATCGTTCTTCCTAATTCTTTGAATTCAATTGGAAATTTTGCGTTTTGTGAATGCCATGAATTAACTTCATTAACATTAAATGGAACAATTTCAACAATCGGTGATAATGCATTTGCAAATTGCTATAATCTTTCTTCTCTTTCGTTAAAAGGTGATGTAATTACAATTGGATCATTATCTTTTTTTAATTGTCAGAATATTATATCAATCACTATTAATTGTAGCTTCTTATCAATTGGATATGCTTCATTTAATAGTTGTCCAAAATTAAAGTATTTTACACATAATAGTTATATCACAAATCTTGTTTTTGTGAAAGTCTTATATCAATGAATATCACAGGAAACATCACATCAATTGGATATTCTACATTTTCAGGATGTGTAAATTTAGAAACACTAATTCTCGATTGTCCTCTTATTTTAATAGATGGTGGTGCATTTCATAATTGCATGAAATTGAAATCGGTTGAATTTCCATCAACACTGCAATCAATTGGACTTACAGCATTTTTTAATTGCCAAAGCTTGAAAACGTGTATTTTTAAAGGAAATGTTTCAACAATTGTGGAAGGTGCATTTAGAAATTGTTATAATCTTGAATCTATCATATTACAAGGAAATTCAATTAGTATTGGTTTTAATTCATTTGATAATTGCCAAAGCCTTAGGTCACTTTCAATCAACTGCCAAACATGTTATATTAGCAATGGTGCATTCATCAATTGCTTCAATTTGAAAGATTTAACACTAAATTGTAATCTTACAATAATTGGATCAAATGGATTTGGCTTATGTCTTTCTTTGAAATCAACAGTTCTCTATGGAAATATGACATCAATTGAAGATTATTCATTCTCCAGATGTCATTCTGTTGAAACCATTGAAATATATTGCAATATAACATCAATTGGAAAAGAAGCGTTTAGTGAATGTTATAAACTTTCTAAACTATTACTTCCTAATACTTTGAATTCAATTCTAAACTCAGCATTTGGATATTGTTATTCGTTGAATTCCCTATCTATTACTTCAAATAACCTCACAATATCAAATAATGCATTTCGTTATTGTTATTGATTGTAACATTACATCTATTTCCAGTAGAGCATTTGATCAATGTAAAAATTTAACATATATTTATACATCAAAGGTGAATCAATAAACATATCATCATATTTATTCACATATTGCTACAATCTATCCAGCATAGTATTTAAATGAATTTCAACATATATGAGGTATCTCAGTGATTCTTCATTCCAGAATGCTGATCAAGTCAAATCTCTTGATTTATATAGTAACAAAGTTTCATTTGGAAGATTATTCGATAATTCTATTTCACAATTCACGATTTTCTATTATGGACTCAATGACTTCGAAAACAAGAGTGCATTAAGTCCCATTGAAAATAATATCGAAAATGTTTTAACAAACGAAAACTATAGTTCATCCACATTTTGTGGATTTTCAGTTTATAAAGTTCTTGGCACAAACTTGACATGTTTATTTAAACAGCTCGAATATTCAAACAACCATGGTAGTATTGAATTATCTTGTTTCTTTCAATCGTTATTTATAATAATAGTATTAAAGATTTAATTCATGAAACATTTTGATGATCTTATAAATCGATAAAGAAAATGTAATTATCAACAAGTATATAAATCTTATAAAAATGTCAACCTTTCAATAAAATTAGAACATTAAAATGCCATTGGACTTTTTATAGCATATTTTTTTCATTATTGAAAATTTAATTAATCATCGGATTTTTATGACATTCAATTCTTTTGTTTAAGGTTAATTCAATGAAACGTGAAATCCATCATCAGAAATTTGAATAAATATTGAACATAAGTGTACCGAGAATCAATTGTTTATTACATTTTGAAAAACAAAAATATTTTCAAATTTTTTTTTCAATTTTTTTATTAGAGACAAAAAATTTGGTTTATATAATATAAATTTTAACACATCTACACATACTTCATTTATATAGAATAAGGTATTTTTGTGTAAAATTTTTCAAAAGGTTTTGAAAGGTTTATAATCAAAAAACAATGGCGCAAGTATCTATGCTCGAAAATGGAACTTATTTGATTGATGGAAACATATCAAATGTCCAATTAGCTAATAATTATACACTAGTTTCAATAATAATATTTAACTGTATGACAATCGGTAACCAAGGCTTATATAATTGTTATAATTTAAAAGAAGTATCATTCAGTGAAAATATAGCTTCAATAGGAAATAGAGCATTTCAGTACTGTAGCAATTTGACTAATATTGAATTGAGATGTGATTCATTGTCAATTGCAGGTCATGCTTTTTATGGTTGCCCAAGCATTCAAGAATTCACTTTGAATTGCAATTTTGTATCAATTGAAGGATATTCATTCGGGAATTTACTTGCTTTAGAAAACATGTCTTTGAACTGCTTTATTATTTCGTTATCAGCACAAGCTTTTAATAATTGTCCGTTATTAAAGTCTATTAACATCACAGGAAATATAACAGCTGCTACAGAAGGGTCTTTTCACAATTGCTTGGGATTAAAAAATCTAATTTTAAATTGTCCAATTATATCAGTCGAGAGATATGCATTCTGTAATTGCAAATCATTACAATCTATTGAATTTCCTAAATCATTAACATCTATTGCAGAGTATGCATTTTATGATTGCAAATCATTACAATCTATTGAATTTCCTGAATCATTAACATCTATTGCAGAGTATGCATTTTATGATTGCAAATCATTACAATCTATTGAATTTCCTGAATCATTAACATCTATTGCAGAGTATGCATTTTATGATTGCAAATCATTACAATCTATTGAATTTCCTAAATCATTAACATCGAAAAAACCAGAATTTTCGAAAAAGTGACACCAACTATTAAAGTTATTTTATTACTAGATTTATTTACAAATTATAAGATAATATCATTAACAAAATATATTTTTAATATAAATAAAAAACTTTTTTTATACAAAAAATTACAATCAATCGATAAATATTATAAAACATTTATTCCAAAAAGATTAAGTAATAGGTGGGATCCTGCATATAATATAATTTTATGTCATAAAGCTTACAAATTTTAGATGGACCACAGTGAGAATGTGAGTGGTTAATTTAAAGGTGGTCTGATAAAGATATCGAAGCTTACTCAACACAGTATGAAGCAGTTTCTAATACACAATCTTACTAGTGGTGTTTCGGTCGCCAGCGCTCTCATAGGGGTGCTGATTTCAAAAACCACTACTTCAAATTATTCAACAATACTCAATGCAGCATGAAGCAGCTACTACTGCTGTATCTTACTGGTAGCGTTTTGGTCGTTGGCTCTTGCACAGTCTCTCAGATTTTCAAAAATTTTTTTTCAACACTATCTTGTTTCGCTCTCAGAAAGCTATCCTACAAAGACATCGAAGCTTACTCAACACAGTATGAAGCAGTTTCTAATACACAATCTTACTAGTGGTGTTTCGGTCGCCAGCGCTCTCATAGGGGTGCTGATTTCAAAAACCACTACTTCAAATTATTCAACAATACTCAATGCAGCATGAAGCAGTTTCCAATTCAACAATACTCAACACAGCATGAAGCAGTTTCTAATAAATATATACATATATAAATATATACATATATAAATATATACATATATAAATATATACATATATAAATATATACATATATAAATATATACATATATAAATATATACATATATAAATATATACATATATAAATATATACATATATAAATATATACATATATAAATATATACATATATAAATATATACATATATAAATATATACATATATAAATATATACATATATAAATATATACATATATAAATATATACATATATAAATATATACATATATAAATATACATATATATATAAATATATAAATAACAAAATATAATCAAAAAATAGTGTTTGGAAATTTAAGGTTAAGTGTCACTTTTTCGTAAATTCTACCACACTCATTTCCTGAATCATTAACATCTATTGCAGAGTATGCATTTTATGATTGCAAATCATTACAATCTATTGAATTTCCTAAATCATTAACATCTATTGCAGAGTATGCATTTTATGATTGCAAATCATTACAATCTATTGAATTTCCTGAATCATTAACATCTATTGCAGAGTATGCATTTTATGATTGCAAATCATTACAATCTATTGAATTTCCTGAATCATTAACATCTATTGCAGAGTATGCATTTTATGATTGCAAATCATTACAATCTATTGAATTTCCTGAATCATTAACATCTATTGCAGAGTATGCATTTTATGATTGCAAATCATTACAATCTATTGAATTTCCTGAATCATTAACATCTATTGCAGAGTATGCATTTTATGATTGCGAGAGCTTACAAACTATCATTTTTAATGGGAATATTTCATATATTGGAAATGAAGCTTTTAAAAACTGTTATAATTTGAGCTCACTCGCGATTTCTGGCAAAATGCTAATAATTGATTCATATGCTTTTCAATTTTGTTATACTCTGAAATCTCTTACAATTACGTGCTCTGTTGCTTATTTTAGTACCCATGCATTCGATAGATGCGACAAAATGACAGATCTGACACTAAATTGTAATGTATCTAGAATTGGAGAAAATGCATTTTTTACATGTAATTGCCTTAAGTCTATAAGGATTTATGGTAATTTAACATCAATCGAAAACTATGCATTTTCAGGATGCCACTTAGTTGAATCAATTGAAATATATGGAAGTGTATCATCAATAGGAACAAATTCATTCAAAGATTGTTATAAACTGTCAAAGCTGGTTCTACCTAATTGTTTGGCTTCAATTGGTAATGCAGCATTTTATGGATGTTATGAATTAACTACAATATCATATAACGGAACAATTTCAACAATCGGTGATAGTGCATTTGCAAATTGTTATAATCTTTCATACCTTTCTTTGCATGGTGATGTAATTACAATTGGACAATCTTCTTTTATTAATTGTAAGAATCTTACATCAATAATAATAAACTGTAGCTTCTTATCAATTGGGTACGGTGCATTTAATAATTGCCCAAAATTAAAATCATTTTCACACAATAGTTATATTACAAATCTTGATTCGAGTTCATTTTATAATTGTCAAAGTCTTATATCAATGAATATCACAGGAAATATCACATCAATCGGATATAATACATTTTCTGGCTGCGGTAGTCTTGAAACACTCATCCTTGACTGTCCTCTTATTTCAATAGATGATAGTGCATTATATTATTGTATGAAATTGAAATCAGTCGAATTCCCATCAACATTGCAATCAATTGGATATACAGCATTTTTTAATTGCCAAAGCTTGAAAACATGCATTTTTAAAGGAAACATTTCAACAATTAAAACTAGGGCATTTACAAACTGTTATAATCTTTCTTCACTGGAGTTAAAAGGTGATTCAATTAGAATTTTATATGAATCGTTTGGTTATTGTCGCAATTTAATTTCATTATCAATATGTTGCAATTTTGCATATATTTCCTACTATGCATTTCCCAAATGTTATAAATTAATAAATCTCACGCTTAATTGCAATTTGACAAGGATTGGATTTTATGCATTTTATGCTTGTAATTGTGTAAAATCGATAATTCTATATGGAAATATGACAGAAATAGAAGACTATGTATTTTCTCAATGCTATTATGCAGAATCTATTGAAATATATTGTAATGCAACATCAATTGGAATATATTCTTTCACAAATTGTTATAAATTATCAAAACTTATATTACCAAACACATTGAACACAATTGAAAGTAGAGCATTCTACTTATGCTGTTGTCTTCCATATATTTCGATTTCTTCCAATAATCTTTCTATTTCCAGTTATGCCTTTGGGAATTGCTATTCTTTGGTTGGTATAACATTTAATTGTAAATTACTGTCATTATCAAGCCGAGTTTTTGATCAGTGTAAAAATTTGAAAAGTTTATACTTCATGAGTGGATCTGTAAATATATCATCACACTCATTCACATATTGTCACAATCTAACATGTATCACATTTCAATGTAATTCTTCAACAATGAGTTACCTTTGATTCTGCAACAAAAATTAAGGGACTGATTTTATTCAATAATATGTATTCAATTGGCAATATATTCGGAAGTTATACTCGCAGAATAACAATATTTTATTATGGAATATACGACTTTGAAAATAAAAGCGCATTAAGTTCTATTGAGAATAATGTGAGAAGAGTATTGACACAAGAAAACTATACTTCATCCACATTCTGCGGTTTTTCAGTTTATAAAGTTCTTGGAACAAATTTGACATGCTTGTTCAAGCAAATCACACTTTCAAACATCAAACAATATTTCAAACTCCTGACTATCCGTGATTCATTAATTAATATATTTATTACATTTGGAGTATAGTATATATGTTAGGAAAAAATTCTGAAGAAGGAAATCGTCTTACAATTTATCTTAAATGCATAGCATTGACTTTAAAACAGAATCTCGTGTTGGTAAATATGAGAGGGATTGAAACCCTAGATATATATAAGAGTTAGGTGGGCCCATATTTCCTTTCAGAATAGAGAATAAAGTTATATGGCAAACAAATTTTCTACAATAAATCTGCAGAATAAAAGTTCATTGTATATATTATTCATGATGTTCTTTTTTATTTTTTATATATGACTGCCTAAAATTGAATTAATTAAACATATTATAAGTATTTTCTAAACATCAATTGGGAAAAATGCTTTTAATTCATGAAGCAATTTGACATCAATAGAATTAAAAGGTGATTTGAAATCAATAGGAGAACATTCATTCACACGCGGCATAAATAGTCAATCAATTAACATATTATAAAAATATGACATTAATATAAGAATCATCATTTTCAAGATGTCATTCCGTTAAAACCATCGAAATTTATTGCATAATGCTTTTAATGAATTTTTTGAATAAATAAAAATCAAATCTTGTGGAATTATTTCAGTAATTGGATAATATATAATTATAGCTATAATCTTACTTGTTACATATCATAAATCGTAACTATTTATTAATTGGAAATGATACTTAAAGAAATATCTACATTCTATTTGTTTTCAATCATCCAAGTTATATATTTCATAGCTTTGTAGTTATTCATTAAACTTTTATTAAAGCTTTGTAACTCTCAATCTTACAGTGAATATTTCATTAATCTATATAAACACTTTCACAAGTTGTGAAAACATAGAGTCATTAATTCTTAACAGCCCTCTTGTATCAATTATTTCAAGTGTATTTCATAATTGCATTAAATTGAAATCAGTTGAATTCCTCACATTATTACTTTCGATTGAAAATTCAGCATTTTTCGATTATCAAAGTTTGAAAACATGCACTTTCATAGTGTTATTTCTCCAATCAGTAATGATGCATTTGATTCAATCTTTCATTCCATTCAATACGTGGTAATGACACGCACTTTAGACAAGCTTCATCTCACTCTAGATTGCAATACTATTACAATCAAGATTATTATGTAATTGCTATAATCTTTCATCTATCATTTCAACAGGAAATACTACTACATTGATCCATTTGATGATTGCCAAGCTCTTAGTTCTCCTTCAATCAACTGTCAATCATGTTATATTGGCAGCGGTTCTTTCATCAATTTCTACAACTTGACATAATTGACATTTTATTGTAAATTATACAAGGATTGGATCTAATCATTTTGGTTCATGTTTCTTCTGGTTACATCATATCAATAGCAACATTTCGTTTAATGGCAGGGCTAAACTTTCGAAGAATACTATTACATATTTGTTGAAACAGGGCGACAAATATGCATTTTTTTGATGCAGCAAGTTCAATTGTATAGCGTAAATAAAGCATTCAACAAGTGTTACAGCTTAACCGCTCTCACGCAAATTGGAATCTGTTAAAATCCTTTCAAAAACATTTCGATATTGTTACCATCTTGAATCTCTTTGGTGACTGTTGATGTCTTAAGTCATTTTCCATCAAATGTACTACTTGTTATATTAATTAACATGCTTATACACATATGGATGAACTGACATGCTTATGGATGAACTGTAGTTTCATTTGTTAAAACTCGTTAGACATTCTTCTCAACAGAACGACAATGATATATTGAATTATAATTGAAATCCTGAAAATTCATGTTTGGTTAGACTGCAGTTTTTGAAAGCATTTTAATTAATATAAGCAAGATTCGTTTGAGTACTTTATGAACTGTAGTTTCATGCATATCTGACATACTTAAGGTTCTTGGAACAAAAGTGACATGCTTATGCAAATTCGATTTTTCAAAGGAAAATGGTAATTTTACTTTTCTAAGTATACTGAAATCATTTATATATTCTTTTGTTAAAGGCCTGAATTAACAATTCCTATTGTTAATATCTCAATATGAATCTATATATTTAACAATTTAAATTTACTCTGATTAAAAAAAAATCATTTTCATTTAAAAAACACGAATATTCAAATATTTTAACGAAGAATGTCAAAATAAAATGAATATTCAAATATTATTTCACTTCGATCAGTTTGTTCAGTGATTCGTTTTGATTAGATTTTAAAATACAAATGATATTCATTCACTTTCCATATGTCACTTCACTCTCTGTCATTGAAATGTAATCTTATAAGGTCGATAAAAAAGTGCGGAAATTAAAAACCGCCGTTTGAGTACTTTATGAGACTATGTTTGTCAGATAGTATACATTTGTAAACTTTCTGACACTAAAAAAATTTCTGGCCTTTCAAAGTTTTTGACATTGTAGGTTTTTGTGTCAGAAAGTACTCAATTCTCCTCTTAAACGATGATTTTTTAAAATCGCACAATTTTTTGAAGACATTAAAAAAATTCAGAATGTAAGAAGATTTTTGAGGAGGCTATTTTTATTTTGGCGGTTTTAATAAGATGATATCATTCCATGTGATTTACATTTAGATATCGAAAAGAATACCTCAAAATGTACTTGACATGTAGTTTAGTTCAACTGAATATTCACGCAATAAAACTTAACAATTTTATTTTTATCTTGACATCGAATTTAAAACAGTATTTTAATGTTTATACGTCCATATATTATTTCATTAACAACATGTATTATCAAAGGATGAAATGAATTTAATGTATGAAATTAAAATTTGAAAATTAATAGAAAGAAAATCGTTGGTTTTATTTCAAGGTAAACTTTGTTATATTAGGTAACTTATAGTTGTGTTTCTTTGATTAAAAGATTTGAATGAGATCGAAAAGATGGAATTTGTATCTTCAGGAACGAAAAAAAAAACAATTTTTTCAAAAAATTGAATCTGAAAACCATATTTGAATCACAGTTTGTTATTGGGATATTCTTTTGGATATTCAATAAGTATGATATAAAATATGATTGATAATATAACTAATTCTGTATTAGATTTTGTTCTATCTCATCTATTCAGATATTTTTTAGCATCCAAGTTTATTCAGGTAATTTTGCCAAAAAAGTTCACTTCGAATTACGATTAGCTCATCGCCATAACCAATGGTTGTAACAACCAAATAAGTTAAAATATAATAATAAAAAGTTATGTATTTTATAATTCTTTGATAGGTTTTTTTATTAATAATTACTAGTAATTCTGAAAACTTTATTTTATCAATTATCCCCGCACTCAAAAAAAGACGTTTTATCACGTTTTAAACAAAATCGTTTACATCAACCACAAGAAATAACAATGTGTTTGCTATATAATATATTAAATAAACTCGTATATTTTCTTTTTTATCATACAAAGTTGGATTGATTGTAATCACATAAAGTACAGCTAAATTTCAAATCATCATAAGAAAAGTTGACACTTTTTCTTCAAAATATATGGCAAAATGAACTTTAATAACTCGCTAAAATCAAGGATTGGAGACTCATGATTAAAAATATAATAGGTTATTATTGACGTATTTTCTAAATATAATATCAGATTCGAGATAACCCAATTAGGTATTGAGATGCTATGGGGGTTTCCTGCCACCCTATATTAGAAGACAAGAGTGCTTGTAGTTCTATTGTTATAACAATTTGGTGATTTTTCAGTTTCTAATGTTCTTGGAACAAACATGACTTGTTTATACAAACAAATAGAATATCCATTGAATAATGGTAATTTTATTGAAATAAGTTATAATCGCTTTTGTTATCATCCGCAATAAATAATTTTTAATGGTATTATCAAAATGCAACATATATAACCATTTTATTTTTCTCATGATATAGTATGATATTTTTCCTTATAATTTCAAAAACAAGCGTGCATTGAATACTGTTGAGAGGAATGTCACAACAAATTGAATAATCAGATACTCTTCATTTTGATCGATATGTTCTGTGATTCATGATAATATAAAAGTATAAATGATATTCCTTCACTTTTAATTTGTTTATTAATATCGTTTCATTCCATGTTGTTGATTTATAATCTTATATGAATAATAAAAAAAAGTGTTCAAAATTCAGAATGAAAGAAGATTTTATTTTTGAAAAAGTGATATTTATTTTGACGGTTCTAATATCATGGTCTCATTCCATGTGATTAGCATTTAGATATTGAAAGGTATACATCAAAGTGTATTTGGCATTTAATTTAGTTCGAATGAATATTCACAGAATAGATCTTAACTATATTTCCATCTTGACATTTAAATTGAAATAGAACTTTAATGTTTATACCGCCATATATCATTTTGCAAACAAGGCATATTATCAAAGAATAAAATGAATTACATTCTTAATTAAAATTTTAAATTTTTTGGTTTTATTTCAAGTCAATCTCTACAATATATTAAAGCCACGTGAAAAGATAATAAATATGAGATATTCGTAGTTAAAATCGAAAGGTCAGAAAATCTTTTACTCTTTATGATCTATTTTCTATGAGAATGAATAATAACAGTTCTTATTCATTTTTATAATTGAATAATTGTTTGAAATTTTATGAATATATTTAATGGCACAAGTAACTAAGTTTGAAAATGAAACATATTTGATTGATGGAAATGTATCAAATAATCAATTCTCAAACAATTATACATTTGTATCAATTATCATATCAAACTGTTTAACAATTGGAAGCAGTGCCTTTTATAATTGTTTTAATTTGAAAACTGCGAAAATCAATGATAATATTAGTTCAATAGGTTCATCAGCATTTTACAATTGCAGCAATTTAACATAAATTATATTAACCGGAGATTCTATTAAATTTGGTACAAGTGTATTTCAAAACTGTTACAATCTTAAATCAGTCTCAATTAATTCTACTGATTTGTATATTGGTGTCTGTGCTTTCCAAAACTGTTACAATCTTAAATCTCTTTCAATCAATTGTCTAACTTGCTATATTAGTGAAAATGCTTTCAAGAATTGCTACAATTTGACAGATCTAAATCTTAATTGCAATTTAACAAGGATAGGGTGGAATGGGTTTTATTCATGCTACTCAGTAAAATCAATAACATTATGTGTCAATTTGACATCAATCGAAGGTGCTTCATTTAATCAATGCCATTCCGCTGAAACGATTGAGATTTATGGAAACATCACTTCAATAGATCAATATTCATTTGAAGGATGTTATAAACTATCAAAACTGATTCTTCCTAATAGCTTGAACTCAATAGGAAATTCGGCATTTGGATCTTATTATTCTTTGAAATCGTTATCAATTGATTCCGCTAATCTTACAATATATAATAATGCATTTGGGAATTGCATTTCATTGAAAAGTATTTCTTTAAATTGCAATATTACATCAATTAATAGTCGAGCATTTGAAAATTGCAGAAATTTAACACATTTTTATTTCAAAGGAGGTTCAATGAACATTTCATCATTTTCATTCACAGATTGCCACACACTCTCTTGCATCTTATTAAAGTGTATTTCATCTCATACAAGTTATTTCAGTGATTATTCATTCCAGAATGCAAAAAATGTTAAATCCCTTGTTTTATATAGTAACAAAGTTTCATTTGGAAGATTATTTGATAATTCTGTCTCACAATTCACGATCTTCTATTATGGAACCGATGACTTCGAAAACAAGAGTGCATTAAGTCCCATTGAGAATAATGTTGAACGAGTTTTAACAAACGAAAACTATAATTCATCCACATTTTGTGGTTTCTCAGTTTATAAAGTTCTTGGCGCAAACATGGCTTGTTTATACAAGCAAATAGAATATTCAAGAAATCAAGACAATTCTCTTTTTCAAAGTATACTAAAATCTTTTATAAATGCGCTTGTTATACTCACTAATAAATGATCCTTATTAATACTATTTCTTTTAAAAATTTTTATCTTATGATTTTTTTATTAGTTTCATTCAAATAATTATACTGCATGCCCAGTTTGTAACCACTTCAATAACTCGTCACAAGTCTCAGTATCCCAGTTATTTTGGTAATGTCTGTTGTGTCTATTTTTGAAGAATGTGATGGACTGTTTTCTTTATAAATAAGTAGCTCATGATTTATACTAAAATGTGTGTATTAAAGATTCACTTACCACTTTCTGACATTGATTAATATTTTTTGTCGGAAGAAAGATATTAGTATACAAAATGACCTTCATACTTTTTTCGAATTAAAATCAAGAACTATTATTTTTGTAAATAAAATTAAAAAAAAATGCAAAATTATCTAAAATAAACAATCTGCTTTAAATAAAATAATATAAATACTATTATGGTTCCTCTGTATCAGGAATAGTGAGTGTGTTCGGGTCAGCTTCGATTCCAATAGGATTATCTTCGTCAACTTCTTCATCTCCGACCTGGACGTAACCAGACTGGAGTCCGTCAGTTGGTGTGTGCGCGCGATCCATGATAAGACCGAACATGATTGAGAGAATAATCGGGAGCATCAATTCGACAGTTGTTCCATGGATATAAGGGATATTTCGTGGTGATACGTAGAACGGAAAGAATGCAAGTGCAAATGGCATCGTAGCAACGCAGTAGTAGTTAAAACGATCTGTTTGTGGATGTGGCTCGACTTCCTTGCTTTCTTCGTCTTCAAGCTTGGGTGTGATTGATACTTTAGCAAGGACAATGGAAGTAATGAACGTAATAAGGTAAACTGCGTAGATTATTAGATAATAAATTGTAAATTCGTTTCCTGTTGATAAATCGTAGCTCATAATAGATACTTTAGATGTATCTATTTTTTGTAAGTCTAATACGGCCGTAATTGATGTCAAAATGGCTGGGATTACGATTGATACGGCCATTCTTGGTACTGAAGCTTGTTCTCTATCGAAACCAATGAATGAGAAGATTGCGATAGTGTAGAACATGAAGTATCCGAAGTATAATATGCGAACAGAGTTAGTTGGAAGCTGGAATGGGAAAATCTGGAAAAGATCAATGACAGATAGCGGATCAAAAATGAAAATCGAGAAGAACAATAGTCCTGCTATCAATTTCCTGATGGTTGTAGCGTGGAGTGAAGTAAAGCTTTTTGCAACGAAAATGACAAAGAAACAAAGGAAAGAAGCCGATGCCATGACCTTAGTAATCGCGTAGACGAGAATAAAGTTAGGATCACTGGATTCCCAAAGAAGGGTGAATGTTTCTGTAATTGGCTTTTCGGAGTAGAAAACAAAGTTAATATTGATCGAATCATAGTCGATCCTTCTGTTGTGATATACTTCAATCGAATTAGTCGACCAATTTATAGGAGAAGCAACCAAATTTAGCTCTTTGAAATCTTGATTGTATTCGTGAACGACTTTGCCGTATTTCTTGCATTTGATTGCAACCTTTCCTGATGCAGTGACAGATCGATTTAATACTTCATCGAATCTGAATGATACTTTCATGTATTCGCTCATTGGTTTAACCTTTGATACGTAGCTTTCGATTGCGGAAAATTTAACATCTTTATCGAATGATAATTTATCGGATTGAATGATTTGCTGGGCTGGAGAAGGAGCCATTACGCATAAAAGTAATGAAAAAATGAAAATTAGAATGGGAAGGAATGAAATAAATCCGCAATGATGGGTAATTGGGAAATCAGAAACATATGATATGTCTTCGTCCTGAAAGTTATTAACCTCGATGTTATTGAATTCTTTGAAATCTCCAAGCATTTGAATGCGTTTAATATTATTTCCGTGCGATTAATCATGTGAAATCTGTGATTTCTGATTCTTATAAATAAAAATCAGAAGATATTCAAGGAAATTAGAAGGTTTCGTTGAGAAAAAGCACTATTTTGATCAGCTATTTCGATTAAATCCTTAAATTCCATTTAAAAATTTGATTAATCTTAGAGCAAATGAATAATTTCATATGCAAAAAGTTCTTGTATCTAATTATTAGCATGATGGTATTATTTTTGAATATTTTTCCGCCTGTCGATAATGTAAATTCTAATTTGTCGGAAAACCGAAAAATGGCATGTAAAGAAACGATCATTTTATTGTTATTTATTTGCATTATATTCTCTGAACCGAAATCAACTCTTAAATATAAAATTCTTTTGAATGTAAAAATAATTTTCTATCGATAAAAGAATTTTATTTTCATGACGACGAATTTTTTTTATGCCTGTGTAGCCAAGGGTGCTGCTCCACTTGCCGAGTTTAGTACAGTTACAGGCAACCAGCAGAGCATCGCCATCAAGATGCTTGAGAATGTCGATCCAAAGAAGCCATCAACAATTTTAGAAGAAGGAGATTACATCTACCAGGTTCTCGCAGACCCTGACAGAATGAACTTCCTTTGCCTTGCCAAAAAGACAGCAACATTCCAGCTCCGCCAGACTTTCTTAGAAGAATTACAGAGAAAATGGCGTGTCAAGTATAAGAACCAGGGTTCATCCTTTGAAGCATACTCTAAGAGCAAGGAGTTCGGTCCCGATATTCAATCACTCTTTACCCAATACAACTCTGAACGTGCGGCCAAAATCGCTGCAATTAAGAGTAACATCGCTGCTACTCAGGAGAAAATGGCTGAAAACCTTACACAGGCTCTCATCCGTGGTGAGAAGCTCGACGTCATGGAAGAAAAGTCAAACAGTATTAAGGAACACGCTGAAGTATTTCATCGCGCTGCAAACAAGGTCAAGAACCGGATGTGCTTCGAACATTACAAGTGGTACATCATTGGTGGCATCATCGGTGCTGTATTTCTTGCAGGTGTTATCATTGTTATCGTCATCATGACTAAGAAATAAATTATTTTCATTAAATGTTATTCAGACACATTTTAAATACTTATTTTTGTTAAGGCATAGCTTTTAGAAACAATTAATGAAAAAAATTATAAATATTTATCCAAAAGAATTGTTTTTTAAGGGTTTAAAGTGTCATCACTAAAAATTCTTTCATAAATACGATATAATTGCAAATCATTTCAAATAATAGCAAGTAATTAAATATTTAGAATTTTATTTGCTTAATTGCTTAATTACTTAAACTCATTAAATTTTCTTACTTTGTCTAAAATTAAATATATCAGATTTATGAACATATTAGTAAAATTAATTTCCGCATATTTTATTTTCCACAAGTTTTCATTTCCTATTTATGGTATCCTCAAATATTTCGATAATTATTTAAACTATTAAGTTGTTATGGCTGTACTTGTGAAGGAGTCATAAATTTGCCAACAATCCACAAAATAACAAATCATTGAAGCTACCATTGAAATCTCATGTGGAAGATAATTGATGTGAAGTTGAGAGGATCGCTTGGATTAGATATAGCATGCACATCGATCTTTGTAAGTCGTAATCATTGAATAGGTATGCTTATTTGGCAAGTGATATGTTTTGATTTCCAAAAAAATTCTGACAATTTGTCATAAATATTTTAGTTGTTTACTATCTTTTGGAATGTAATGATGTAATGATGGCAAAACTGTTGTCAAAGAACTTTAAATACGAAAATTTCATATTGTTTCTAGCGTAGACGTCATTTTCTTCTTCATTTTCATCCTTATTGGATTTAAATTGTTTATTTTTTGATGAATCATCGTTATCTAATATCAAATAAGGGCAGTCATTTTCAAATGAAATAAATGTATTCTTGTATAATGGTGTCAGACTTGTCGATATATTATTATCAGTTGTTGAATTTTCAAATGTGATTGTCCCATCATATGCATAAAAAATGTAAGGGATATCATTCTCACGAATGCAGCAATAACTCATGAAAATATCAGTATGAGTAAGTATTAGATGGCCATCATTCGGACTTTTATTTCTTATATAATTGCATGTAGTAACTTTAAATATTGACTCACCTAATGAAGAAGTTGAATAGAAATTAATAGAATCTGATGTTTGATTATTTTCAATGACATTAACACATGTTGTGTACGAATTAGATGTGATCTGTTGTGTTGTGTAACCAACACTAAATTCTTTGACTCTATTTCTTGTAATGTTGCATTGATCCATAATTATTAAGCCACGACTCAAGATAGTAGTTAATCGACATTCATGTTCTAAATTACCGCAGTTGAAAACTGTTGTTTCATTAGCAAAATTTTTGTAATTTGGTATTTTTGAAACCCACACATAAAAGGAAGTTCCACTGTTTGAATTAGATGAGTTAATAAATGAATTTTTTGATTGAACAAATTTGCCTTTGTCAAAAAAGTAGAGACCTGCTCCATCATTGAATCCAGAGAAACATGTGTCGAATTTATTTGTTACTGTAAATGTTTTAACATTATCCCTTGTAGTTGAAATTCGAACTGCACCATCTGGGCTTAATTCAAGAAAAAAACAACTCGAAATAAAGTATTTTAAGTTGTTTGATCTTGAAAATTGAGTGCTATTATTAATATGTTCTTCATCATAGATTGATCCTGGGAATGCTGATTCCCAGGATATTGGGATTACGATTAAATTGAATTTATCGTTTTAGGAAATTTGGTCGGATGTTAACAATATATTTCGGATTTTTAAATTTGATATCTGATTCTAATGCTAATTCTGTAGTATTCTTACACTTAACATGTAACGTGCTTCATTCAAACTCAGCCTTAAATTTCAGAGAAACTTTAGGTTAACCGAAACGCATTTCTCAGTGGGAAAAAACAAAAATATTTATGGGGACTTATATTTTGTTAAGTCATTTTTAAAATTTCATATGGAAATTGTGGATTATCGTATATTCTGAAGCAAAAATTAATTCTCGCATTAAATAATTGTGAAATCTACATACAACTGTATTAACTTAAACAAATTTGATATCTATTCTGTGCAAAAGAACAATTTTGTTTGTCGATTTAATAATTGCATTTCAGTTTTGATGAACAAACAAAATGAATTGATAAATGCATAGTTGAATCACAATATTTTCTTTTAATTAAATCAAAGATAAGCAACCATTTCAAGAAAAGAAAAATTTCGGCAATTATTTTTTCTCTCTCTTCATTATGAAAAGAATCAATAATTTCTTGGAAAAATGTCTTCCAGAAACCAATCCATTGTGAAGAAGCTTGTATCAGAAATTAAGATTTATGTGTTGTACGCCTTTTTCGGAATGCACTGAAAAACATGTAATTAATTTAAATAAAGTATAATAAACAAAATAAAATTTTAATACAACAACAAAAAAATAAAATATATAAATTAGTTTGGAGAGAAAGGCGTATACAATATTTCTCCATTATCAGTGAAGCAGACGAGGTTTTGTTCGTCTTCATCGTAAGAAATACTGACAATTCTAGCGAATCTTTTCAATTCTACTTTTTGGAAATTCAAATAAAAAGCTTCTGCAACTAAAACATTTCCTCTTGAATTCGAAATAGCGATGTAATCAAATCCTTTTCGTGATCTAAACGAACATATATTATTGATTTCGTAGCTAAGTTCTGTTTCTCTTATTTTTTCTCCATTCACGGAAAATAAATAAACAATAGTTTTGACAGTTTTTTCACATCTTTTTGGCGAAACAAAGCAACAAATGAATCCCCAATACGGAGTTACAATTACTTGGTGAGGAATAAAGTCACCAAGTTCCATTGAAGTAACATTTATTTCTCTTTCCAATGAATGCAAAACGATTGAACCATCATTTACAGCTGTTACAGCCAAATGAAACTCAGAAGAAACGAAACAAGATCTCGCGGATTCTCTGTATATTGGATAACTCTTTATCAATGTCGTGTTTTCGTCAAAGAAAGAAAGAGTGTTTTCATCACTTATTGTTATCAAATAAAGATCATTTCCATTTGCACATTTAATATGGTTCTCGAGTTTCATAACTTCTGCTGTCTTAATATCAATGACATAACTTTCTTTGTCAATATTACAAATAACTCTGTGAGATCCAAATAAAAGAAAATTCTGAACTTTTTTGATGTCAAATTCTAAATATTTTTCATTTCTTTCTCCTGTTTTCGAGTTGTAACAAATACATTTGTTATTCGAATCAATAATATAAAACATCTTACCATCAATGCAATTAACATATAAACTGTTAATTTTTGTTTCAGCAATTTTACAACTATTCAAATTTTGAGAAGAAATTTTTTCTCTTTTTGGATGAGGTTTTGTGAATAGTTTATGAGGAATTTGGCCCAAGTAATTCTTTGCTGCTTCTATTTGTCCTCTCTGTTCTTGGTCCTGGATTAGTTCTGGTGTCCAGATATCTTCATACAGTTCTCTTTTATATAAATTGTTGAATTCCAATGATTTTTGTTTGTATCCAAAAATAAGATCAATCCATTCATTCAAGTTTTGAGAGACATAATCAGATTCCAAAGCTTTTCTCAGTTGGTAAACGAAATCTATTGGAGATTTTGCCCATTTCGGAAGTATTACATCTCCCGTTTCATTTGCACATTTTCCTAGATCGAATTTGTCTTTGTTCAAGAGAAATTCAGGCATGAAATAGAATTCAGGAATCAATTCCCTGTAGTCATTTCTATTGTGACAAACAGATCGGAACAAATCGGGAATAGAAAAGAAAATTCTCTCTGATTGGTCGAATTTTCCTCCCTGCATTTCAATGTGCATTGTTGTAAATGGTTCAATTCTCACTAAATAAAGATACAAAACTAAAGAACAAATCGGACCAGCGGAATACAAATGTCCTGGAGGATCCATGGCTTCGAGTTCTTCGTATCCTGACTTAAGATCATTTAATCTTTCTTCGTCAACAGCTCCAATAGGAATTGACAAATTTCTGTAGTTTTTGACATCATTTAAATCCAAGTTTTCTGTTTCGTAATTCGAAATAACCCATGGATAAATAGGATACTGGGAATTAACACTGAAACTCCTAGAACTCTTCATGTTCAAATAGAGAATGTATTCGAAGTTTGAGATCTTATGATCAAGCCAATCTTTAGTTGTTTGGTTGGACAAAAATTTTTGTGTCTCAATTTTGGCATTTTCTGACAATTTTTGGTCAAAAACTCTGAGGAATTGTTTTGTAATTTCGGGAGTTGGAAATACAATGAAAAGAGACTTTCCGTTCTCCAAAAATATCTCAAGAGCAGTGTTAAGATGTAGATGTAACTGAGGTAATAAAAGAACAATATCTTTGTAAACAAAATTAGTAAAAGGAATTTTTTCATGAGAAAACAAAACTGTTGTATTCAAAAGAGATATTGTTGCATGCTTTTCTCCTGTGTTTGTTAATATAACACATGATGATTCTATAACAATTTTTTCTTTAGGAATTTGCTGTGTCATGTTTTGGAAATTTTTGAGAGAAAATTTTTTCATTGAATTTCTTTGGGGGGAGACACCGGAATCCCTTGCAAAACTTGCATCATCGTGAATGTCAAAATTCCGGTTTCTTTTCATTTTACAAGGAATATAATTACATAAAGTTGTGTCTCTTTTATAATGTAATATTTTATCATTTTCTTTTTCCCAAGGACCTTTTTGTATTGTCAAAATCGACCAAATATATCTCCATTGCTTCTCAGTGATCATTTTCCTGTTCTTCCACTCTTCAACAAACCTCTTCTTGTAATTAATCCATAAATCATTCGTACTCTCAATTGAAAAAGTGACAAATTTTTGAATGAAATTAATTGTTTCCTTACAAGAATTCTTTTTCTCATCAAGTATTTGGTTAAACAAAGGTACAAAATTCGATCCGATGTCTTGGACTGTTCTTTGGAATGATTCAATTTGTTCTTCTGTTTTTTCAGTAATTTTTGGATTAATTAAGTCAATAATATCCTTTTCTCGTGGATTTAAGCCTGATATACTTGATATCTTAGCTAATATCTTAAGATATTCATCTTTTCCTTCAGTTTCTTTGTAATTTATCACAAAATAAATTAATAAAATTAAAATTTTGTGAGAAATTTGATAAACAGGAGCCAATAACTTAATAACTTTGGTTGCTATATCATAATCATTCCATTTTCCATCATTTTCAAGATATAATCCGAAATAATTATTTTGAATATTTTTAACATCGAAAATTCTTTCATGAACATCATTGTTTTCATCTTTTTCTTTGATAATTTCATCATTTTCAACAAAATTTTCTTTGAATTCTGACAATTTGAAAATATCAGATAAAGTTTTGTTAATTAATGACTTTCTATTCAAGAAGAAGAAATATTCAACGATATCCAAGTACTTACTAACAATTGCTTCATCTGAAATCGAAACATTTTTCTCAATTAAGTAATCTGTCAATTTCGAAATGAAAAATTTTTCCATTTTTCTTGTATCCAAGTGCAGCATCTCACAAGTAAACAAATAATTAATATAAGAGAACTTAATGTTCTCAGGATATTTCGATATAATGGTTTCAAGTAAATAATCATTGTCACTTTTTGTCAAAAATATGAAATACCAAAAATCAGAAATATTTTTCTTTTGCAACAAATTGATACCGTTTTCAAACAATTCCTGGTCGAATTCCTTTAAATTATAGAGGCACCAGAAGAAGAAAGGATAGAAATCCTTTGAGTAATTCAACATAAACAATATATATTTTGCCAAATCACTGTTAAAAGCTGATTTCGGAGTCAATCTTATCATCATATTCACGCAATTACTGATTTCCGGTTTGGAAACAATCTTATTTTTATAGATGTTATTAATAATATTAACTATACCTTGTACTGCATAAGTATCTGCATCTTTCAATAAAGAAATCAAAGGGAAAATCAAATCATGATTTTGTATTTTTGCCAAAGGAGAAGGTTGTGAATTTACCAAACTCAAAATCAATTTCAACAATTCATAAAACAACTCTGTACCATTTTGTGCTCGTGCTGAACTGATTAACAACAAGTATTCATCATAAGTAAATTCATGAGAAGCAAATAACTGCAAAATTTGGAACAAAATCAATCGAATTTCTACTAAAGAAATTTCAGAACTTGGTTTACAAATTGTAAACCCATTCAATGAATTATCATCAGTTTTTGATCTGAAATAAATCAAAATTTCTGACAAAAACACGGAAAAATTAGTAAAACTAAATACATTTTCAGAATAAATGTTAATAAGAAACTGCGACCAATGTGAATAAACCAACAATTGCTCAGAAGGTTGAATTCTTGTCCAAATAGAGAAATTCATCAAAATTTCTCTGATAATTTCTGTTTTCAATGGTTTGTAGTTAATTGTTCCGAGAATATTAAAGAAATGTTCATAGAATTCATAACTAAAATATGAAATATCAACGGATTCCAGCAGATAACCAATAATAGAAAAAGCGTTTTGACAAGAATTTTCAGAATCATCTGACCAAAGTAAAAAATTCACTAATAATTCACTTGCGTAAGTTATATGGTTTTCGCAAAGATTTCCATCATCATACGTCAATGCCAAGTTCTTGAATATTGGTAGTATAATGTCAACATGACAAACCGTTGTCAAAACCGAAATAAAATTATTTTTCTTTTTTGACAGTTTTTCGTTGTAAATCATTATTGGTTTTGCATTGATTCTTCTCATATAAATATAACCATGAGTTTCTAATTCGGATATATTAAATGTCTTGAGTTCATTGAATACTCCGAATGGACCTAAAACATAAGGTTTCTTTGGAGTAAAAGAATACGAAATTTCTCCACCAAAAATGAATTTTGTTTCTCCTTGAATTTTCATGTTTTCTTTCAATTTTATCGTTTCTGACATATTTCCATTTATTGTCAATTCGACAATTTCTGAATTTAGTATTCTAACTAAAATGAAATTCCACGATTTCTCCTGCAAATAAGGTAAACTGGCGAACGCAGAATCTTCAGATCCAATTGATAATGACTTGGAATTGACAAATAAAGAAAAATTGTGTTTTTTAAGATCGGAACAACTAAAAATTAGTGGATAATAGTCTTTCTCGATCTTCTTTACCTTCATCCAAAAAGAAAATGATATCTCATCACCAATAATAAATGTTTGTGTCACTTTTTTCTTTGATTTTTTTTGTAAACTTATCAATTTTGGCGGTTCTTTGAAAATCAATTCAAACATGACTAATAATTTATCCAAAGCCATTGAATAGAAAGGTGGCAACTTATTGTCAATAGGACACAACAAAGATATATATCTATAAACAACAGCAGCTGATGAAATATGTTCCGCAATTGTTGAAAACAAGTCAAATAAAGCGACAATTGTGTTTCTTTCGTCTTTTTGGGTCCAATACTTGATGATTTTGTCAACTAAGAAAAGATCGAACTCCGACTGATGGCAAATAACACAATTCTCTTTCGAAAACTTGCAAATTTTGTCAAAATATTTGCAAATTTCCGGAATTTGATTGTATCTTTCGTAAATATTAAACATTATACGGAGAACTAGTGGCTCTTTGATGATAAAATTGGGTTCGGTGTTCGTTCTGACCTCTCCGGCAAGTAATTGGACAAATTTCGGAAATAATGATAAATATTGATCGGCGGAAAAGGTTTTTGTGTATCCTTCCTCGAAGTAAATGATGTCTTCGTTGTGCAAAGTCACGATTTTGCTGGAAACAATGAACAAATCAATACAAGATTTGAAACATTGTCTGCATTCTTCTGTATTTGAGAGATGTGATAGCGCGGACACTCTAACTGTTGTTAGAATTGACTCAAATGTCATTACTTCGGTCTGTTTCTGCAATAAAACATCGTGAATAATTTTGATAATCTTGGAAACCAAAATTACGTTCTCTTTCTGAGGGAAACCTATACAAAGTATACCTATTATGTTCGTTAGTGACCTTCCCAGCTCTGAATGACTCAAATCACAGGTACTCATGTAAACTTTCACTTGATTTAGGATAAACGACACGAGATTCGGATCAAAGATGTACGAAAGGAAACAGGAAGTGAAGTAAGAGTCCTGGAAAAAGAAAGAATGAATTTCTGGATTGGAAAAAAAGAACAATAGAGATCTGAAAATACTCGTAATGGCTATGTTGGCCTCTGTTATGTTGTCCTTTCTAATGATGGCCAGGTTCAATAAGAAATCAGAGATTGATTTCGAAAATTCGGGTCCAGATTGAACCCATTTCATAATTTCTTGATTGTAATGAGATAATCTGTACATTGATTCGGCAAATATCATCGGAGTTGTCAATAATGAGCCTAAAAACTTGTCAAAAGCTTCAAATCCTTCTTTTATGATAATATGGAACACGGCGTTACGCATTTGGTTTGTATGTTCGTATAAAATGTTGTTTTGACAGTTTTCGATCGTACAATAAATACCTGGAGCAAAAATTTTCTCAATTGGAAAGTATTTGACGAAAGAATGCTCATTTGTTGTACACCTTGATAATAAATTGCATGTATACACAAGAAAATTCAATGAAAAATAGTACTTTGTGGAAAAAGGCAAATTTTCTGATAAAAATCTAACAAAAAGTTCCATAATGTTGGAATTGTTTCGCATATTGATAGCTATGTATTCTATTATAGTCGAAAGTCCCGAAAAACACTCCAAATTGCTGACATGATCTGTTGTAAAAATATTTGGGTTTGTAATCTGAAAACCGTCGGGAAATGTTTGTTGTTTTGGGAAAACAAACGATACCGGAACGATAGAGCGTTTGTAATCGATTCTTTCGGCGATTGGATCTGATAAAAAAGGAAAATCCCAGTCGTTTTCTTCTATGACTTTAATAATCGATCTAGCACTAAGTACAGCGAATTCTGATGCCATTGCTTCGTTGAATTGTTCTGATAAATGCGCAAATATTTCTGAAGTATCGAAATCTAAATGAAAGAATGGATTTGAGATTGATTTCATGATGATAAATGCTGCATCTTGTGAATCTGAGTTTTTCGTCCTCTCAATTAGCTTCAAAAATGAATTTACTAATTTCTTTTCAAATTTCGTAAGAGTTAAAGCATTTCTATCGGTAATTTTATCGAGTGTCTGTGCATAAAGATAATATACTGCTCGAGAAATCGAAGGATCATCATTAACTACAATTTCAATGAATTCGAAAACGGATTCGATATCAGAGTATTGTCCATTCGTCAAATAGATCGCGTACAAGTATACAACAGCGAACTTGAGGAGTTTCAGATGACTTGTATTTATGAATTTGCATAAACTTTTCATTAATAGAGCTAAATAGTCACATGATGACGTTTTTTCATGTAGAGTGATCCATGTATTGTATGAGTATAAGATAAATGCGGTGCAAAACAGTTGCTCGTTCGCGTCAAGAAAATCAAGAGAATTTATTTTTTCCAAAGATTCAGGAAAAAACGGAAATAAATACTCGACCATGTGCATTGCTGTAGTGTATGAATGTATCTCTTGGAATCTAAGGCGCGCTGCATGGATTTCAGCCTTATTTATATTTGGCAAAGGATTTAGTTCTGCAATGCGAAGTAAATCTTGATTTGTAATTAGTTCCTCAATGTTTTTGGGGATTGAGAATTCCAGGATTTCGAAAAATGGATCTTTGAAGAATTCCAAGAATCTGAAATTCATCCCAAAAATTCTGACTCCCACTTTTTTGTCAAAAATGTTTCGAAAAAATCCTACTGTTATATAATGTAAAATCTAAGAATTATAATAAATTATTTGTTTTAAAATTAATCCGTGTTAATCTTTAATTTGTTTCAAAATTTGAGAATTTGGCGTAAACAAAAATAAATTGATCTGTTATTATTCTTCATTCATTATCATGATAAGATGGAAAAGAGCAAAATGATACGCATTTGTATATAGCTTATCTATAATTCTAGGGTTTTGATTAATCAATTTTGATCTATTCTAAACAATTTGATTCGATAATTTTGTCAGAATAAGAGATTTCTTGATAAATTTCAAAATTTGATATACAAGTAAAATATGAATTATATTGTGTTATTTGGACGAAGCTTGAATTGAGCTAAAAAGTGACAAAAATCGTCCAATGAGTGAAAGAAATCAAAGTGAGCAGAAAAATTATTTTGATCCAAAGGACGAGAAAATACAAAAGGAGATATTGATGATGATAACTCAGTATCTCGATGAGACCGGTTTCCGCTCTTCAGCTCAAATTCTGAGCGATGAAGCAAAAATTAATTCGTCAAAAGACTCAAATAGAAAGCAAGAAATGAATTCATTAAAAGCCTCTCTTAAAGCAGGTGACTGGACGCAAATTGAATCACTTCAACTCGATAAAACTCAATCTCCAAGATTTATTTATCAGCTTTACAGATATCACTTTCTCGAACTTGTTGTTTCCGGTGATGCTCATGCTGCTTTACAATTTTTGTCATCAAGATTAAGACCATATAAAGCCTTCGAAGACCCAACAGGAGATTTTGACTCTCTTTGCCTTCTTTTAGTCGATTCAGCATCAACATCTGGAATTGAGACGCCACCAAATCTCGCAGAGGCCCTCGATAAGCTTCTTTCTCTTGTAGATACAAGTTTAGAAAGTATTACATACAATTCTTCACAGAGATCCGATACAATTCCAAAAGGAAGGCTTGTTCGACTTATGCAACAAGCTGTCTCACTGCAGCTCTCATGCTATCCACGTGGAGCCGTCAAATCAATTGTCAACAATTTCAAGCCGGCAATTCTTCCATCATGTGTTCCAAAGTCACTCCCTGTCGAACACAAAGGCCCCATCAAGACGATATCAGTCATTCCTGGCACAGATACCTTCATTTCAGGTGGAGCTGATTCAAATGTCATTGTTTGGGATCTCAAACGCAAGATGAAGTCCTGCGTTCTCAAAGGCCACACGGGACGCGTCTGGTCTGTCGTTGCGAAGAAGCCAACCGTTGCTGCTTCATCTGGCGGTGACGGAACAATCAGAATCTGGAATCTTCAAAGCAGAGAAACTCGATATACAATACAAGATTTTACTAACGACGTCTACGCTGTCGATATGGACTCCAGTGGTGCAAAATTGATATCTGGCGGTTTTGACAGAACATTTTGCCTTTACGATATCGAATCTGGAAAGCCCGTATTCAAGAAGCAAGGCCATTTGGCTTCAATTACGTCAGTTCTTTTTGATCCTTCTGGCAATATGGCAATTACCGGTGGAAAGGACCTTGCAATCAAGATCTGGGATATCAGGAATGCTTTGGTAGTCAGAGTGCTCGCTCCTGTACTTTCTGAAGTCACATCTGTTCACGCAGATCGCAGTTTCTCATATATCCTTGGTTCTACGAAGAATTCGACCATCAGACTTTGGGACATGAGAATGTCCGAGGCTGTAAACCTCCTCCGCGGTCATTCCAACACATCAAAGCATTTTGTCAGAGCTTGTTTTGGTCCGGACGATAGAACTGTACTCTCTGGCAGTGACGATGGAAAAATTTACGTCTTTGGAGCTACTTCCGGAAACATTTTGGAGTCATTTCCAGCTCATCCGAAGGGATCTTACGGTATGGTGTACTGCGAGTCGATGAGACAGTTCATTTCATACGGTGAAGATAATCTTATCCAGGTTTGGGATGAAAAATCTAATTAATTTATTTTTGTATTTTTATTGTTATATTTTAAAATATATTTGATGTTTATTTGTTATCAAATGGTTTAGTTATTAACCTTTTTCTTATTTATGGTCACTTAATATAATTCAAACTCAAAAATATCAAATATTTTTTGCATATTTTTCGATTTATCGAAAAACTTGAAATGTTTCATTAATAAAAACTTAACTAATATTCAAAATCTAAGTATCATGAAGAAATATTATTGATATCAAAGAATAATTTTTCTATTTATAGAAAGGAATTTTGACAGAATGTTTTTTACCTTTCAAAGGCTTATCTCAGTTGATTTCTGCGTGATTTTGATCAAAAAATGATTTGGGCTGCAGTCTTATCATCCGAAGTTTTCTTCGGTTATGAGGTTTGCAGCCTTCTAATCGGTGAAAAATATGACTTTTTATCAATGCTTTCTATTGCCATTCCGCTTGGAATTGCAAGTTCTTCAATGTTATTTTTCGTATGCTCAATTATTCTCGGTTTCACTAGTTTTCATTTATATATCCATATGGGTGGATTGATAGCTATAGGATATATTATATTTATGCGAAAAATAATCAAGAAAAAATTCAATATTCCTAAATTTACTCAGACTGAAATAATTTTTGGATCAATTGCATTATTTACTGCTGTATCTATTATAGTTTCCGGCTATGGATTCAAACCAAGAGTTTATCTTGAATCTGGAGGACCAGATATTCAAGAAGAACTCGCCATAATGAACTCGTTCTACCACGGCGTTAATAGTGGTCTAGTCAATATTTTCAAGATCAGGCATCCATTTTGTTACAAATGTGTTGCAAGAACAAAATGGTTGACTGCTATGCATTCTGCAATGCTTAAAATAGGTTACGCATCCACTAAAATGGCTTTAGTAGCTCCATCGATACTTTACATGTTCTCATTTTGCTATATTTTATTAAATGTAGCAAATATCTATTTGGATTCAATATTTTGCTCAATTTTAGTATTACCACTTGTTTTCTTTGGTGGTGGATACGGATTCTATTATTGGACAAAGCGACAGAATCGAAATAACAAAACTTTGGATTTCGTTTTTAATTACGGCGAAACAACCACGCAATGGTCACATCCTATCTTCTACTATATTTTAGCTTACAGATACACACAATTATCCCTTTCAATCGCTTCTATTGTTATTTTCTTAATTTTGAAAATTTATAAGAAGAAAATGTACAGAAAAGAGTTTACTTTACTTGGTCTTCTCATTGGTGCCCTTCCTGGAGTTGAAATACAGACATGTATTGCTTCATTGATCTTTTTTGGACTTCAAATTTTATTTAATCTTCCAAAAGACAAAAAATCGACAAAAGAGTTCACAATTTCTATCACATTCTTTGGTATTGCTCATTTACTTATGACAAACTTCCAAATATTCCATTATTTCCCAAGAAAAACGAACTCAAAATTATTTTATTTGGCTTCTTTCTCTCAAAACTTATACGGAACGCCATGCCAGTTCCCAGTAATTACTACGTGGTTCAGATGTCTCGGTATTTTAGTCTTTGTCGTTTTAATTTTCGGATGGTTTTTGCATAGAGGTGCAACGAAGAATATTTTTATATCAGCGGTGTTGCTGTTCGCTATAGGAAACTATGTTTCATTTTCTCCTGTTAGTAGAATGAACATTCTCTTCTTTTACCCTTATTCAATGGTAATTTTCTTTGTCACTTTTGTCGATGTAATGAAATATATATCGGACCTTCCAAAAGAAGAAGAATCGAAAGGTGTTCTTATTGGAATATTTATTTTCGTTTATTTGGCATCGATTGGTTCAGGTTTACTTGGATTCAAGAGATTAATCGGGTCCAAGAAGGAAATGTATGGATCTGATAGCGAAAAAGCTGCTGAGTGGATTGTCCAGAATACTCCTAAGAAGGCTCTTTTCGGTTGCGAAGAAAATGATTTTAATGTTGTTTCTTCATTATCAGGAAAGGTCCTATATTCTGGCAATGACCGATTAAATTACCTTGCTGGTTTTGTAGATATCGGAATGCGTAAGGAATCAAGACAATTATTGTCTAATCCGGAAAGTACTGAATTTGCTGCAAAAATGGAATATGCAGTGAATGTAGGAGGATTCTCTCAGCCATGGTATATTAATGATGGTATTGGAAACTGGACATTAGAAAAAGAAATCGGCCAATATCATATCTTCAAGAGGAATTTGAAGCGTTAACTGCTTATAGTTATTTATTTTTTGTTTTATAGTAAAACTTATATAGATATTTTATTTATCTTTGAGAAATGTTCATTTTTATTTCATTGTACTCTTGATTATTGAAAGAATGCTAGATTTATTAAAGTTAGAGGCCAAACAATCATTATATACTAAAATGAAAAGGGTGAATTCGGTTAATAAAATAGAGATATACGAAAAATGATAAGAGTGGATTTCGTAAACGAATTTTATTTTATTTTTATTTATTTTCATACAGGGTTTTAATATACTTTGTATAATTTTTTTGTATATTAATTATATTTAAAAAAAAGTTAAGTAACAAGTTACCAATGCCAACCTTCCTTATTGAAAAATGATGATGCTTGGTCGATTGATTGGAATTGGGCAAAAAATGGTTCTGGCCTTTCTTCTTCATCCGCATATGATTTTGGTTCCCAGAAAACTGGAAGGGGTTTCGTAGACGGCTTACTGACCTCTGTTTTAATGGGAATCCAAGTCTCAGAATCGCTGTCAGAGTAATCTCCTTCGGTGGAGGCGTCATCTTTCATGGAATTAAACTGCTGAACAAACTCAGTGTCAAACTGATCCAGCTGTATATCCTGAAGGCGCAAAACTTCGCGATACATTCCTCGTATCTGCTCTTGTATTTGACGTTTTCTTTGCATTTCCTCCTCTTTTTCATCATCTGTTTGCCTTTCAACAGTGAATTCATCTCCACTGCTGACTCCTTGTTCTGCCAAGGTTTTCTCGTCGTCAAGACGGACACCTCTGAAAACAAGGACTATTTGATTATCTGAGGAGGAAGTGAGTTGGACTAAACTGCGGAGTGAAGCCCCAGTTGCACACGAATACGCTTCAACTGGAAGCGTTTCGCCATGAGGCCATCTTACGAAGATGTGCAAGATTTCACTCATCAACAGCCGTGAACGATAGGGTTTACAAAAATTTCAATATAACGGAGATTAAATTACAAATGAAGAGACATTACTGTTCTTTCAGAGAATATAAAAAACACGTTTACGAACAATTAAAATTTTCAGAGGAAATTAGCCATAAAAATGTTTTCTTGAATTTTGAGCAAAATATGTGTTAAAATTTTGTATAGTATTTTAAAAACATAATTTTATGCATTTTTGTCATTTTGAAATTAAATTTGTCAGATTCATGCTCTGCCATGATTATTCACGCCGATAAATTAAATTTTCAATCCACAAAAAATATGCCATCTTTATAAGCTTATAGAATCAAATTCTGGTTTGCTTATCTTTCTTTTGCATTGTACAAATCATGAGCATTCAATGGGTCGATAGAACATGAATTCTATTGAGGAATTCAACTCAGACACCAAAAATCATATAAGATTTGTGGAATTATTGTAACCATATCGATGGTGTTTATTGCCGACCCCACTAATCCCTTCTCTAAGTGGTGATTAAAGATTTGTAAGATTACTTCAAGATGTGGGTTAAATCTAGTTTGATTTATTTGTTAATAAGAAAAAGTATATTGAATAATCAAGAAACTTAGTAAAAAATGGAAAGAATTATTTTTTCTATTTATTCCTTCAGGATACCCTTACGTGTCAGATTTTTTGCGCATACGAAGAAGTCATGCTAGACATGAGCTATAAACCTGAAATTTTAGCAACATATTTAAAACTTTTTAAACTACAATACACTTTAATATTCAAGAACAAAAATATTCTTTTTAGAAATTACATAATTATTTTATGTGAAATCTATATAAAAACATATTTTGCGAGCGTAACTTTTTTCTTTATAAGCACCTTATATGACTGATAAACTGTGAAGGCACATAATTGTTAATTCATAGAGTTGATATGTTTCCAAAATTGAGAGGAAATTTGAAAATTGAATACCCTTTCAATTCAATTTTCAAAAGATATCAGCTCCTTCAATAATTGAAGGACGATTTTGATCATTTGCTCTTAAAACAAGTATGCCATGGAGAAAAAAGTTACGCTCGCAAATCTGAAATATAACTATCATATAAAAAAATTAAATTTCTAATTTTTTACTCTATAGATATTATTGGCCACTTGTGTAATGCATAAAAGTTTATGTCATATGCATACATTTGGAAGTATGGGAGACGAGGGAAATTACTTCTATGAGGCACTAGGATTTTTAAAAATTTCTCTATCGGACTCACCATTCAATTTCTCGAAAATTAAAAAAAATCAATAATAGCTAAAATGTATTATGCATAACAAATTTTAATGTTACACGGTATTTTTGAACTTCATGACATGAATTTTCTTTATATTATTTTTTTGGATTTTCTATGATTTATGCGATAGGCTGGAACAACATTGTAAGTGCAATGATATCATTTATAGAGAAATCTAAAACTTCAGCATTCAGAACTCGCAACCACAAAAATATTCATTTGCTAAGTAAGTAAAGTTGATTAAGTTCGACACTTAGCTTTTATACGTAAAACCAAGTGTGTATTGTTATTTCTTGTTAAATTATTGAGAAAAAAAATGTAAGAGAAACGATACTGATTATTGAAATAATATTGAGGGTAGCTGCAGATTTCTTCATTAACATGCCGGAAATTTGTTAATCTTGGTTTTCTATCATAAAATCTGTCGAAGAATCTAAAAACGGAGATATGAAATAGAGATCATGTAAATCTAGAGTATCCTGTCAGAAAAATAGACTAAGCATGTAACCTTTTTTTGGTCATAAACACTTTTTACCACTTAGTCATACAGATGATCATTAAATTTAAACGAGCACTTTTTGTCAGAATTTATTCTTTACAAAGACAGAAGATTTTAGTATTATTTAATATTAGTGCTGTAGCAAAATTCAAAAAACGGTGAAAATTCAGTGAATTTGTGAATTCACATTTTTTTCGACATTTTTCTTGATATATCCATGCACATTAAGAACACAGCTTTGATACGCTTAAAAAAGCATATTTCATATGAAATTGTTAAAGAAATAAACAATTTATATAAAAATTGCACTTATGGGCAGTTTAGATATATAATTTATATATAACATATATACAAATCCATAGACAAAGTGCAATAACTACAATGTTGTAGAAAATTACAGCAGAAATACTGACTTTTTGAAGGATAATAAGAATTCTTCTAAATGTTGTATTTTTATAATTTGATTGATTTTTTTTACTATTTCATTAATCTTTTATGAATAATAATTATTTTTAATATATGTGCTATTAAAATTTCAAATTTTGACTAATATATCTAAGTTATCTGAACGAAACATTTAGAAAATATCATACTTACATTGAAATAGCAAGTAGAGCATATTAATAGCAAGTTTCTTGGCTTTATATCTATCATCTATTGTTGTTTGATCAAACAAAATTCACTCTAGAGAGAGGGTCAAAGTTGCTATTTGTCACTTTTCCACAAGAATATAATGGGGAAAAAGTTATCATATAGTTGATCTCATTCACTGAGGTGAGAGATGCATGTAGTGTAATTTGATAAACAGTGGGATTGCTGCTCTAAGTCCTAGGTTCGAGACACATTGGCTTCATTTTTCTCTTTTTTATTGACGTAAACTATTCAATTTTTGTGTTCTCCATTCAAATTTCAGAATTTTTTTTGCAGATTTCACGCTACATTCGAAGTTACCTTTTGTAACAACCACCACTGCCTACGAAAGACGAAAGTGTGTCACGATTTCACCCGGAAATCCGACGGTTGTTTAAGAGTATGCACTTTTGTCACCTACTCATTCACTCTATTATATGGTGTCAATTAATTAAAACAATTTTTAATAGTTATTTATTTAGTGCGAATAAGTGCAAACTCATAAATGAATAACTTAATAGTAGAAATGAATTATCTGATATAAATCTCACATTTTGTCCATCAGAAATACTTTAATTGCATACGCATAACTATTAGTAATACGTCTGGAGTGTCAATTAATAACAATCCCACAACAAGTAAAATTCAGATTTTTATTAAACTTATTTTTTCCTAAAAGTTTTCTCAAATTACTATATATACATATGTGGATAAAATAATAGTAATATTGTAAAAAATTAGATAATTTTTTTTATTTGAGAACCTCTCAAAAGTTCATTCAATTTATCAATTGTTTCAGTTTGATGTATATTCATTTCTGGAGCCTAAAACTTTAGCAATCATGACAATATCATATTCTCTTTCTAACTACGCAATGTAAGGGTATCCTTAAGCATGAACGCCCAAAACTTGAATTTTATGGTAAAATCAGTTAGTAGTAAATGTTATTTAATGAAATTGATTGAATGGGAGATTTTGAATCAATTTCGGATAAAATATGGCAAAATAAAATTGATGTAAAAAATTGGCATGTGCTATTGAATAATCTTTTTTGCTTTAAAGTCTAATAAAGTTGTTTGATCTGTAAGATATTCAGTATTGAAAAAATGCGTAATTGAAGGTTCATAAGTCATCTCTAGCAAATGTGTATGATTTAAAACTATGTTGTATGCCATTCAAGTACAAAACTTATTTTTTTTGATAGGAAATATCACGTTAGATTGATTTCTTATCCTATTATATTGGGACAACGTATATATATTGCTAATTGGATAGTTAAATCCAATTTTTGGATTAGTGGCAATTAATTCAAATTTCGCAAGATAATTTATTTTCAATGAATTTGATCGAAAATTGAATGATGTTCAAAAGATGAAATACGCTAAAAATTATAAATATTTAACATATAAGTACTTATAAATGAATGTGTGTTCTAAAAATAAATGGTTATAATTTCCTCACAAAAATGATCGGGAACTGAGCGAAAAACCGTTCTTGTGTTCACAATTTTTTTGAAGATCGTTAAATTTTCTTCTGAAATTTATATGACTTCATTTCTCAAGAATGCTCGCTAACGAGTTCTCTGTTGACGCACCAAATGTCACAATCAATGGTGAGGAAATGATTTCTCATTATGATTATCACACATCTCATGTTGTTGCTGGAGCTGATGGAATCAAAATCGTTCCAGAAACAAAGAAGTTCGAATTCAAGACCGATTTACATGTTCCAAAGACCGGTGTCATGCTTATTGGCTGGGGTGGCAACAACGGTACAACACTTACATCCGGTGTTTATGCCAACAAACATGGCTTAGTTTGGGATACAAAGCGTGGCGAGGTCAAGGCTAACTACCATGGCTCTCTTACACAATGCGCTACAACATACCTCGGCCAAGATGAGAAGGGCACAACATATGTCGCTCCATTCAAGGCTTTACTCTCAATGGTCAATCCAAACGACTTAGTCATCGGTGGCTGGGATATCTCCAAGCTTAACATCTACGAATCTGCTCGCCGTGCTCACGTTATGGAGCCAGCCATGCTCATCCAGCTCAAGGACGAGCTCGAGAAGATGCACCCACTGCCAGCTGTCTTCGATCTCAGCTTTGTTGTTCCAAACCAGAAGGATCGTGCTGACAACGTCATCCCAGGCAACAAGTGGGAACAGCTCGAGACAGTCCGTAAACAGATGAGAGAATTCAAGGAGCAGAACAAGCTCGAGAAGCTCATCATCCTCTGGACAGCCAACACAGAGAGATACTGCGAAGTCAAGGAGGGCGTCCACATGACACCAGAACAACTCCTTCAGGCCATCAAGAACAACGACCCTGAAATTTCTCCATCTACAGTCTATGCTACAGCTGCTATCCTCGAACACATCCCATACATCAACGGTTCTCCTCAGAACACATCTGTTCCAGGACTTATCCAGCTCGCTGAACGTGAAGATGTTGCCATCATGGGTGATGACTTCAAGACAGGCCAGACAAAGTTCAAATCAGTCATGGCTGACTTCCTCATCTCATCTGGCCTTAAGTTAACAGCTGTTGTTTCCTACAACCACCTTGGTAACAACGATGGCCTCAATCTCGATTTCGAGAAGTGCTTCCGCTCAAAGCAGATCTCAAAGTCCTCAGTCATTGATGATATGGTTGGCTACAACCCAATCCTCTATCCAAACGGCTAGCACCCAGATCACGTTGTTGTTATCAAATACGTTCCATCTGTTGGCGACTCAAAGCGTGCTCTTGATGAATACGATTCCGACATCTTCTGCGGTGGCAAGAACATCATCTCCGTCCACAACACATGCGAAGACTCCCTTCTTGCTGCACCATTGATGCTCGATCTCATCATCCTTATGGAACTCTTCACACGTGTCCAGCTTAAGGATGAGACAATGAAGGACTTCCACCACATGAACGCTGTCTACTCTGTTCTTTCCTTCCTCCTCAAGGCTCCAAGAACACCAACAGGCACACCAGTCATCAACTCCCTCTTCCAGCAGCGTGCTTGCATGGAGAACATCCTCCGTGCTACACGTGGTCTCCAGCCACTCAACAACATGCACCTCGAATGGAAGATGCCAAAGAACCAGTAAGAAAAATTAATGTTTCATTTTATATAAATTTCTTAGATTTATAACTAAAGATTCTACTATAGATTAATTAAACTCTTTTTATTTTTCTAATTTTGATTTCTCAATTGTATTATTATCTTTTTTTTAATATGCAAATCTACATTTTATAATAATTGTAAATTAAATGATCAATGAGAATCATTCCACTTTGTATTACCAAAAATAATTATATCATTCCACTTTGTATTATCAAAAATAATTAAATGATCGATCTAGATATGGAATTATTCGGTCTATGGAAATCAGTTTGCCTTAAAATGGAATCCGACTTCTGGATCAAACAAATTTGAGAACTTAAATTGACTAAAAACAGCTGAAAAGAGTTTTAATGTTTCACATTATCATTTGCTGGGAATGTAGTCTTGGCTGTTTGAGATATAATTTAAATTCCAAATTTTTTTTCTCATATTTGTAGTTTTTGATAATTCATTTTCAAAAACTGTAAAATAGTTCAACTTTTAATTCTAAATACCTATTCAAAAAAACAAGAAACACTTAAAATTATTAATTCCAACATCTTTTTCAAAAATACTTATAAAAAATGATATCAAATAGCGATATTAGATTCTGGTACATAGGTTTCTACGGTTATTTCTATATGTTGGAAAGCGAGCAAATAAAATGGCGGTTAAACATAAATTTTAAAATTAACAATGATAACTAAATTTATAACAATCTGGAAATATATTCAATTGAATAGGAATTTTAACACAATGGTTTTCCCATCATATATCAAGCAGGGTTATTTGGATCCATATGGTATGTCAAAAGGCGGAATTTTAGAAATAAATTTTACTGGAGATAATATTGCAGGTGTTTTGTTGTATTCTTCTAAATGGAATACTCAATTAGGTCCAACAGAGTTATGTGGTCCTGACATAGTTGATTTTCCGGATAATAAAATCTTCAATACAGAAAATAAAAGTTTTTTTATAAAATATGAAAAAAGTAGAACAGTTGTTCCATTAATTGTTAACTGCAATCACGGTCGATTGGTAGTTCCTTACCGATATACAAATCCAATAAATGTTGATAACAATCTTTTATGGATACCAATTTGTTTGACTCCATTTATTTTAATATATGTATACCTATTTCGAAGTTATTATAAATACAAAAATATACAGATCATTAGGCAATCAACTCTATTGAAACTAATCTCTCTGATAATTTTTTCCATTATATGGTCAAGTAGTTGGATTATTGAAAATGGATGCAAATATTTAGAGCATATTTATCCATTAGGGAATGCTGTCAGTTTATTTATGTTTATACATTATTTTAATGAAGATGAATTTGATACAGACGTAATGAATGAACAAAACCATAATATGACGAAATACCTCGTTGAAATCATTATTCTGGTTTTGTTCATTTCAAGTAGTTATATTTATTATTTCTCAATGACAGAAATTAGAATGTGGTGGTATCAAATAATTTATGGGATTATTTCATTTATAAATGCAAATGTATCAGGTGAATACTATGGTATAAAACAATGTGATATATTTATGGCGCAACTCTCGTTTATGATTCTCACATCCCCAATTTTTATTTTTTTCCCTCCAAGCCACATCATTTGTAAAATTGTACTTTTTGAACTCTTGAATTTAATATATCATCTTGCCGCATCGGATGATTTGGATAAGTTCAATAAGTTCGATGATGACAGAAGTTTAATTATATGAATAAATGAAGAAGAATTAGAAGATTATGTGAATATTTCCTATATTTATAACTTTTTTTACAATTTTAAAGTAAAATAAATATTTTTTTGATTCTAATATTTAAACTCAATTATGTTATCAATCTGTTGCATATACAAAAAGAGAACAATTAGAAAAAAAGGTTTTATTGAATTGTTAATATATACATATATATGCCCAGTTACATAGGAATTATACTAATGTTACTCCTCAATTATTTCCCAAAAAAGCTTATTTGCAGCCATTTATTGTTGTTTGATAAATTGGCAAAATCATTTTTGTTGTCAAAACCTCCATATCACAATAATAAAATTTCATTATTATTGATCCCAATCTTTTTGATAAAATGAAAAAAGTGACATTAGTCAGTTTTAATAATTTGTCTGATGCACACACATTTTCAGTTTGTTGAACAAATTCCTATGTTTAAAGTATATAATGATACATTCAGAACACTATATCAATTGAAAACATTCGATGAAACTGAAATATTAGAAATTTTCAATTTGATTAAAGCAAATTTGATTGAGTCAAAGCTTTTTTCACCAACTCAAATCATCGAACAATTGACTTTAATAATGATATATAATAACCGTTATTTCAAAGTGTATTGCAAACTAATTAAATTTATTTATGAAGAATTTCACATAAAACAAGTTCATAACATTCCCTATCTGGTTAAAGATTTTATTGCCAAAGAATATGGAATAGTTTTAAATGACACGGATGTTCATTCTTCATTTATTTATCGATATCCTCCTGATAAAACAAATTTGATTTTAAAGTATAAAAAGGATAAAAATTACTTCAATGACGAAGAACTACAAAAATATTCATTAGACTTTATGGAAGAAAATACGATTTACTCTTCAATTATGAGAGATGATATCAAATCATTTATATCATTTACAGAAAGAGAAGGTTTTGATGAAAATATTAAACTAAAAAGAGAAATTTTTCCATTCTCATGGAATGGATTTACATTACTTGAATTATGTTGTTACTATGGATCTGATGATTGCTTTAAATTTTTGAGGACAAAATTCAATTCCAAAATAACTTACACATGTCTATGTTTTTCGTTTTTGAGTGGAAGACCAGAAATAATGAATAAATGCTTGAAATCCATTAAACCAGACCAATCATGTATGAAATGGGCAATTATTTCACATAATATTGATTTTGTAGAATTTCTAATGAATGAACATCATATTGGAATTAAATTAGAATATTGTTGTAGATACAACAATCTTCAAGCATTTTTTGTATACCTTGATCAAACAAATGATATAGATAATTGCTTCATGTTCTCTCCATCTTTTGGAATTCAAGATCTTTGCCAATATTTGCTTTCAAAGGGCGCAAATATTTTAAACAGTACCAAGCCTGTGTATAAACTTGTAGGATCATATACTAATGAGGATATTATTGACGAAAGAAGTGTAGTGGGCTATGATATCACGCAAACGAATAATAATGAATGGACTGCTCTCCACTGCGCAGCGCAGTATGATCATAAAGATATAGCTGAATTTCATGTTACAAATGGAGCAGATGTTAATTTCAAAGACAATTTTGGTAGAACTGTTCTTTATTATGCTGCATTTTGGAATAGTCTTGAAACAGCAAAATTTCTTTTAGCTCATGGTTTAAAATTAGCGGAAAATAAAGCTGTTTTAAATGTTGCAGTAGAGAGAAATAGTAAAGAAATGATAGAATTTCTTCTCTCAAAAGGAGTGAGCATCAACAGCAAAAATGAATTTAAGAAAACTTCTATTATTATAGCAGCGGAATATAATTTTATAAATGCATTAAAACTTTTGGTTTTAAATGGAGCTGATGTTAACTCAACAGATGAAGATGGGGAAACTGCACTTCACTATGCATCACTTCGGAATCATAAAGATATAGTTGAATTTCTACTATTAAATGGTGCTAAAATTAACATAGTTAATAACTTTGGAGATACTGCATTGCATTATGCAGCTTTTTGAAACAGATATGAAATAGTCCAGAGTCTAATTTCAAATGGAGTAAATGTTAATGAAAAAGGATCTTTAGGGAAAACTGCCCTTCATTTGGCAGTAGAAAATAATTACAAGGATATGTCAGAGCTTCTAATTTTGCATGGAGCAAATGTCAATATCAAAGATGAAAACCATAACACACCTCTTCATTATGCCATAGCATATTCTAAAGAAGAAACTATGAAACTTCTTCTTTCACATGGAGCATTAGATAATCCAAATGATGGGTCAGTTATAGGCTTTGGCTGCCATATTGCATGAATAGCTTTTTATAAAAAAATTTTGAATTGAATTATAGTATTAATTGATGTTCGTTAAATAAATATTATGTGCTTTTTGTGAAATTTACAAGCTGCAATGATGAGATCTATAAATCATATAATTATTCAAAACATATTGCATTATCACATAAGATAGCTATTTGCATTTATGAAAATATAGTTTTTGTCAGAGTCATATATTTGATCAGCTTTATATTCATTAAACAACAGTTTGAAAATGCCAATCCATAATCATCAACATTTGGAAGAAGAAAATGCATAATTCCTTATATAATCTTTGCCACATTATAATTCTCTCTGCGAAAATAGCAAATAATTACTAAACAAGACTTCGATTCATCTTCTGATGTTTACAATAATCGTCCAAAATTTTCATTTACAAATTTCGTGAAAAAATAATGCTTGCGTGGCTAGATGAGCTTCCATTCGGAACGAAATATCTTTTAATATTCATGATTCTTCTCCACATTGCAAAGATTACTCTCATGCCACCTTTATTCATGCAAAAATTGTATTTAAATCCATTTTTAGTTATTAAACAAAACGAGTATTGGAGAATCTTTACATCACAGTATGTACATGCAGATATAATTCACCTTGCAATGAACATGATGACATTCTACCAACTTGGAAATTTCTTCGAAAGATCTGTAGGAACCATTGCATTTTTCTACTACATTTTCATATTTGGCGTTCTATCTAATCTACTTGACTGCCTGATTGCCTGGTTTATGGCTTGGGGCGGAAGACCTGAGCATTTTATCGGAAGTGCAGTTGGTTTCTCCGGCGTTCTCTTCAGCTTGACAGTAATTGACTCTGCTGTATCTCCTGGTAGCCAAAGATCAGTAATGGGCTTGTTTTTAGTTCCAAAAGATTTTTATCCTTGGGCATTGCTTCTTTTCATGTCTATTATCATACCATCTGCATCTTTACTTGGTCATGCTACAGGAATGGTCATGGGATACCTTTACATCTTCGGATTACTCAAATGGCTTGTTCCAAGCAAAGAAACATTCTCAAAGATCGAAAGGAAACTTTGCTGCTGCGCTCTGAACCACAATGGATACTATGCTGCTGAAAATAATGGAGCAAATCAATATCAACCTTACGCTCTCTTCAACAACCTTGCTGGCAATACTGAGAATGACGATGCAGCTGCTGATGACCCAGAAAATCCTCACATGCTTCGTCCAAATGCAAGACCAAACAATAATAATAGAAATAATAATGATAATATATTCCATGGTACTGCACATACTATTGAATAAATTTATGTTTGTTTTTAATACTTGATATTGTTAAAACTTTTAACAAAATATACTATATTATTTTTGAATTTTAATTTTAAAGATTTTTATATTTCAATAATGTATAATGTTCTAAATTCCTGTTAAATATCATAAATTTGGAAGAAAAACATCTAAAAATCGTAGTAAAATCTGAAGAAATTAGATATATTATGAAATAAAGTTGAATTCGTTTGATTTTGACAGAGAAAATATAATATATAGGTATAATTGGTTCAATTTGCTGCTAAAAATAGCGATTTCGCCCACAAATTTTTTGTCTTTTTCATCAAATTTTCAAAAATTTCATAATTTTTTTACAAATCTTATTGATATTCTTTGTTTTGCCAATTTTTTGTTTAATGAAAACTGAGTTATCAAACCTCTATATCATCCTAGACACATGATTTTGACAAGAAACATTCAAGACATAAAAAGATCAAATTCAATATTTGCAAAGACATCAAAGTGGCATGATTCATTAAAATAAACCAATTAAAATAGCAAAATACAAACAAACATTTATATAAAACAAAACAAATACTATAAAATTATTTCTTTTTTGATTTTTTCCTTTTCATAACTTCATCAAATAAATCATTAAGATCATCATTGGACAACCCCATCAGATAATCTTGATTAGATAAGTATTTCTTCGGTGGACATTGGAAATAAAAAGATCTGAGAATATCTGGTCTGTAATTGTAGTGGTGTATGTAGAAAGGATGTTTTGTACATCCAAGTATCGATATATTTCCGAAAGTTGCGTTCGTAATGAAGTTCACGTTGACAGAAGAACAGCCTTCACACCAATTAAAGGTTTTGAAGTTTATATTGTGGTCAGCATAAAATTTCTTGTAGAAAATCATCGTTGTCGGTGGTTGGTCGGTCATATAATGCGTATCAGGAGTAAGTGACCAAAAAGTTTGGATTAAATCCATGAGCTTAATAATTTCTATTGGACTGCCCATGTATACGCCAGGAGTAACAATAAGAGTGGTATTTGGAAGCCAGTATTGGCCGCCTAAATAATTTGAAAAGAAATCTGTTTCCCCTTCTTGCGCGGAAGTAATATTTTCGGTATAACAAAAAACTGCATCTTGATGCATGAAATTTTTGAATGGATCACTTTGGAAAAGTGAATCTGAAAGATCGCATGCAAAAACGCGATCAATGTATGGCAAATATGTACTGATAAACTCTTTGTATGCATATGTCTTTGCTTGATAAAGATTTCCTCTTGACATATTTAAAATATAAAAATGACCGATATCAAGTATCAAAACATCGCATCCATGATAATACTCGTCGAATCTATCATGTTCAAAGAAGAATGTAGCTCTAGTATCGGCTAAAATTACAATTCTTGCTTTACATTTTGAAGTTCTTATCGATCTAACAAAAGGAATGACTGAGACAAAGTTTTCAAAGCAAAATGTAATTATGAAATCTCTTGTTGTACTATCACCTTCCCAATTGTCAACTTGAAAATTGCATTTTGGACAGGAATACTTTGTTGGGGGATTTTCGATAAACTTTCTAATATAGTCTTTATGAAAATTTAGACGCGAAATCATCTTACTCTCTCTCAACCACGTACATTTTTGAGTGAAATTTACATTTATTTGATGATTTGGAAGGAAAACATATAAGAGATGAACCCCCGAGCATGTGATGTATAGAAATAATAATACAAAGGCTCGAAAAGAATAATGTTTTCGAAAATCCAAAAGTTGAAAAGTGACGTTTCTTAAGGGTGTGTTACCCATGTCAAATTTTTCATGCATGTATAACTTTTGATAGACTTAAACCTAGAATCTGGTATTCTGCCATATATATTAATTTTTTATAAACTACTATTTCTATTAATGATTTTAAATAATAATTGTTTTTCACAATAATCAAATTTGATTTTTGGCCGAAATCGTAAAAGATAAAAATATCAATCCATCACAATATTTTAAATTCCAATGATATTCTATCCTATTGATGGTATGGCTAGAAAATTAACATTCATGAATTATGAGGAAAATTGAATGGATCTTATTCATTTTTTTTATTTTCCTCATAAAACATATAGCAATGAGATTATTTTTAATCTAAATTTGGATTTTAAATTTTTATGAGATTTTTTGTAAAGTTAGAAGTGATTCCACCATGACCCCCATCCATGGAGGTTAGAATTCATACTAGAAATGCAGTGTCCAATGGTAATGTTACCCCTTATATTACTTTAAAAATCTATCACTTTTTGGTCTCAATTGTATTCGAAATGAATATGAAATATGATGTTATCTAGTATTTTTTATAATATATCAATGACCATCAAAAATTATAAATAAATGTTTATTAAATATATCGCAATATAAGAATTCATAAATAAATTTTGAATATCAAGGAGAAATATTTGATTCCAAGAAAGAGGACAAGGAAAGAAAGATATATTTATCAAGGGTATATCGAATTGAAACTGTAATAAGCTTTGCAAACATGAATTTAGGCCAATAAATTTGATAATATTGACATTATAAAATCAATGAAATTCGATAAGCTTTGTGTTATATATAGTTGAGAATTTTCCTATTTGATATAAAATCAAATAGGACTGATAATTATTGGAAAAAATGATTTAAAATGCACATGTATTGGGGATCTGTAGCTGAAATTTTGAATTAAGTTGAGTAAATATTGATTGTAGCATTGTAAGACATCGGAAAATCATATATTTTTTAAAAATCTGTATTAAATTAAGGTGAAATCTCTAATTATTGTCATTTTTGTTTGGAGTTTATCAAAGTTGTGGCAGAGTTAGAGGTATGCCTTTGGAAAATTACGGGATATTTTAAATACTGGTGCGCTCAGAGGATGAAAAAAATTGTTTCATTAAAATTGAGAAGGAAATTTAACGTACAATAATATAATTGATACTTACATTATGCTCATTATATGGGTTAAATTTCAAATTACCCTTGTCAGATGATAACGATTATTTTTCAATATAATAATCGTTCTTGAAAAAAGGTAACCCCAATGGATTGTATTTAAATCGTATGTACATTCTATTTCATCAAAAAAATTACCCTTTTCTCTCATATTTTTGGTAGAAACACTTCTGTAAAGTTACGATATCGTAAAAATCGAATCAACCCATGAATCTGAATTTCGAATACATTGCTGCTCATATCAGCGATTATATTAAGAATGAAAACTTTTTCGATACATTTGAGATCGAAGATATCAAAACAATCATGAAATATTCACATTTAACAGCTGATTAGTACATTACTCTTCTCAAACAGTCTTCATCGACTCTCAAAGCTAACATATTATATATCTGTACAAGAAAAGCAAATGTTACTATACAAAATTTCGATGAAGTTGTTTCAATTCTTAAATCTGTCAAAAAATACATGAAATTCAATATATTTGATGGAATCATTGACTTTATAAATCAAAAAGACAAAGAGTTGCGTGATTCTACAGAAGAAATCAAAAAGCTTCAAACAGAATTAAAAACATTACAAAATCAAATACAAAATGCGACCAAAGAAACAACAGTAACCCCAATTAATAAAACTCACAACTTTTCGAGAGAGTTTTTAACTAAATTATCATCACTTAAGGAAACAAAAGATTTTGATAGTGTTTACCAATTCTTTGAAGAACTTTCTTCTAAAGGCAATCGCGAAATAATTTCAAAGGCTTGTGAAGAAGGACTTTGGAAGAAGACAAATAAGTATGGAGAGAATGTACTTCATGTTGCAAGTATCAATGGAAATCTTAATCTTGTCAAATCACTTATTGAATGTGACTGTGATAAAGAAGCAAAGTCTGATAATGGACAAACTCCACTCATTTATGCATCATGGGAAGGTCATCTTGAAGTTGTTAAATATCTTATCTCAGTTGGAGCTGATAAAGAAGCAAAGACTAAAAATGGATGGACTTCACTCATTATGGCATCAAATTATGGTCGTCTTGAAGTTGTTAAATATCTTATCTCAGTTGGAGCTGATAAAGAAGCAAAGGATAATGATGGATACACTCCACTCATTTTTGCATCATATAATGGTCATCTTGAAGTTGTTAAATATCTTATCTCAGTTGGAGCTGATAAAGAAGCAAAGACTAAAAATGGAGGAACTGTTCTCTCAGTTGCAAGAGATAATGTAAGAAATTATCTAAAATCTATTGGAGCTAAGTAAAATAAACAGGTGATTATATTAAAATTAAAAATGTTCTTATTTTCAAGCTATATTATTAGCTTAGAAATTAGTTCTTCATATAATCAAAGAAAATAAAGATATTTATTTACATATTAATAAACATTAGCATAAATTAGAATTTAAGCAATTTGATTTATAAATATAAGGGCATAAAAGGATGAATCTTTTTTTCATGCAAATTTTGGTCTTGAACCAAAGCAGAGATTCCTATGGATATGACACAATAACCCCCGAATAGAAAGATTCAATTTGTTGAGGCAAACGCGATCTAATTTACTAGATAAATCATTTTAATTTGTATATATAGCATCTTTGGTCAATTAGAAATCTTACTATCTAATTTATATATGAACAACGAAGTTAAAATTGAAAGAAAAACTGACACAAAATTTTGAAAATCTTTTACGATAAAAAGATTTTTCAAATCAAATGAGCTATGAATTTGCTGCCGTTCTTCGTGATAACACCATGCTTGCACTTTATGCAATTGGAAGTGGTAATCACGATGTAGTTACACAAGAAATTTTGAAAGGAATTGATCCTGGAGAAAAAAATATCACTTGTGAAAGAGGGCAAAAGCGATATTATGTACTCCATGAAGTCACTGGATTAAATTTTATCGTTGGAACTGACAATTATGTTTCGTCTAATGACGCTTTTACATTTTTACAGAATTTAGAACGAAAATTTATCCTTCAGTACGCAAAGCAATGGAAAACTGCGCATATTTATCAAATGCAACAAGAATTTTCTCCGCAAATCAAAAATATGATCGATTCTAAAGCATTAATAAAAATTGAACAGATTAAAGAAAATTTAGAAGAAACTCAAGTTTTCATGAATCATACTTTTGAACAGGCATTACTACGTGAATCAAAACTCAGTGAATTAGAAGATCGCTCAACTAGATTAGCAAATGGTGCTTCTGAGTTTGAAAGAAATGCTGGAAGAATCAGAAGAAGAATGTGGTTCGAACATTACAAGTATTATATTGTTGGATTTTGCATTATTGCTGGAGCAATTTTTCTCGCAATAATCGCTGTGTGTGGTGGCTTTAGTTTTAGCGAATGCAAATCTAAACCTAAGCCTACACCTACACCATCAATATCTCCAACACCTTTACCAAAATAATTTTATCATTTGTTATTTTTATTTTTTAATGTAAAATGTATAGAGCTTTATCTTTTCTTTCACTAATATTAAAGTTTTTTGCTATACAAGCAATTCAAAAATGAATATTCTCATCAATATTATTTTAGTCATTTCATTTTAAGCGGAAGTAAATTATAACGTCTTGAATGCATATGATTTAATCAATATGTTCTATTACGAGAAAATAATCTTACATTTTCAATTCAAAAAGTGTTAGAAAGGTGCTTATTTTTAGTACTAATTTTTCCTTAGTTTCTAGATTGTAGTTCACTTTTTCAGTCTTTCAAATTTTTAATGTCGGAAAACTCGAATCCCATGTGCAAATGCGAAGAGATTTTTGAAATTTTCAAGAACGGCATCGCTGGCTGGCAAGCATTATATCAACTAATAACAAAAAATGAGGAAGAAATAAACACAATTTATCAAAATATCAAAACAAATTTGATAGATAAACTAAAAATTCCATCAGATTATGTTATACGTAGTATATCTGATTTGGTCATATATAGAAATCGCTATATCAAATCTTTTCTAAAGATAGCAAAAAACATTTACGATGATTATCATCTAACACAAGTAGATGTTTCATATCATTTTGATTCTTATTCCCATCAAGAATTTGGATTTATTTTCAATCAAAATAATAAAAACTATATTGTTTCACAAGACAGCTCAAAATCATTCAGATCAGATGTACATGAAGGATATACGATTTTTAAGGCAATTATGGAAAATGATAAAGAATCTTTTATAGATTTCACAGAAAGAACAGATTTTGATGAATATTACACAGAATTATTTAGTAGTTATTATCCAGATTCATGGTGTTCGCTTATAGAATTGTGCTGTTACTATGGTGCAGTCTATTGTTTTAAATTTCTTAGGACAAAATTCAAATCAAGAATCACTCAAAAATGCCTTAGATATTCATTTTTGAAAGGAAATCCAGAAATAATGAATGAATGTTTGAAGGAACTAAAACCTGATTTTGAATGCATGAAAAATGCAATTATTTCCCACAATGTTGATTTCGTCACATTTTTGATGAATGAAAACAACATAACAATTGATTTAGATACTTGCAGTAGATACAATAATCTTATGGCATTTTTTATATATTTGGATCAAACAAATGAAATTAATGAATGCTTTATTAATTCAAAATTTTTCTGCATTCCATCCCTTTGTGAATATTTTATAAGTCATGGTGCAAACATAAATGTAAAAGATAAGGCAGGACAAGCCGCAATTCATTACTAGTAATGCAAAAAATAACGACAAAGAGATACTGTTTATTTCATATTGCGCAGATATTAATATAAATGATCAGATGGGACAAACTGCCATTCATGTTGCTACAGATAATAATATGTTCGAAATGGTGGAGTTTCTTATTTCACATGGTGCAAATATCAATGCAAAAGATGGAGAAGGAAAAACAGCACTTACTATATCTGCAGAAAAAAGAAATGAGGAATTAAACAAATTTCTTATTTTGCATGGTGCAGATATTAACTCAGCTGATAAACGCAATAGAAAAACTGCCCTTCATCACTTTGTAGAGAATAATAATAAAGAAATGGTTGAATTTATTCTTTCACATGGTGCAAATATCAATGCAAAAGATATAATTGGTGAGACCGCTCTTCATATTTCATCAGAAAGAAATAATTACGAAATATCAGAATATCTTATTTCTCATGGTGCAGATGTCAATATAAAAAACAGACATAAAAGAAAAACGCCATTTTATTATGCCTTGAATAATGATAATATAGAATTATGTAAACTTCTTATTTTTAATGGAGTGGATGTCAATATAAATTTATCATATGGAAAAACTGCTTTACAGTATTTTGTAGATAAAAATCAAAAAGAAATGATGGAAATTTTAATTTCGCATGGTATCAATATCAACGCAAAGGACAGTTTTGGACAAACTGCACTCCACACTTCATCAGAAAATAACAATACGTATTTATCAAAATTTCTGATTTTGCATGGTGCAAATATCAATCTAATGGATTGTCATTGGAAAACTGCATTCACTATTTCAGCGAAAAATAATAATAAAGAATTATCAGAATTTTTAATTTTTCATGGTGCAGATATCAATTCAAAGGAAAAAGACGGGAAAACGGCTCTTCATTATTATATTCAGCATAATAACAAAGCAATGGTGGAGTTTCTTCTTTCGCATGGTGCAAAAATCAACGCAAAAGATGAAGATGGAATAGCTCCACTTTCAATATCAGCAATAAGCAATAGCGGCAAAGAATTATCCGAATTTCTTATTTCAAAAGGTGCAGATGTCAATTCAATTGACAAATATGGAAGAACTGCTCTGTCTTTTTCGGCAGAAAATAATAATAAAGAATTAACAGAATTTCTTATTTTATGTGGTGCAGATGTGAATGTTAAGGATGCAAATGGAAAAACTCCTCTCCAATATTTTGTGAAAAATAATCTTGTTGAAATGGTTGAAAATCTTATTTCACATGGTGCAGAAGTCAATTCAGCTGATAATGATGGAAATTCTCCCCTCCTTATTTCAGCAGAAAATAATTTCCATGAAATTGCAAATATTCTTATTTCTCACAATGCCGACGTTAATGCAACAGATAGAAAAAGGAAAACGGCACTTCTTTATGCTTTACAAAATAATAATATTGCACTAGCAGAAATTCTTGTTTTAAATGGGGCGAATGTGAATGTATGTGATTTACTTAGAAATACTCCACTTCATTATGCTGTTCTTGATAATTGTAAAGAAATAATAGAAATACTTCTATCTAATGGAGCCAAAATTAATGCCATTAATTCAATCAATGAAACAGCTCTGCATCTTGCTGTATCTGAAAATTACAAAAAAATTGTAGAGATTCTTATTTCAAACGGAGCCGATGTTAATGTCCTCAATGATGAAAAAAAAACTCTTCATCATCTTGCAGTTTATTATAATTACATAGACTTAGTTAAAACATTTATTTCCAATGGAATAGATATTGATGTAACAGATGAAAAGGGGCAAACCCCTCTTCATATTGCTGCACTTAAAAATTGCCCGGAATCAGCAGAATTTCTTCTTTCTCATGGTGCAGATATCAATGCAAGAGAAAAGATTTATGGTGATACTCCTCTTCATTTTGCCGCAGTTAATCAACATTATGAAATGATTGAACTTCTGGTTTTGCGTGGTGCAGATGTGAATGCAAAAGAATATAAATATGGAGATATACCTCTTAATCTTGCAACGCTTAAAGGAGATTTGAAAATTGTTGAATTTCTTATTTTACATGGAGCTGATGTTAATGCAACAGATAAAAGTGGGCAAATTCCTCTTCATCTTGCATCATATAAACATAATATCCCAATGATTAATCTCCTTGTTTCGCATGGATCAAACGTTGATGCAATAGATCATAACGGAAGAGTTGCCTATCGATTATAAGAAATCAGACATCCAGAAATTCGGCAATCAACGTAGATTTATTGATATACTGTTTATAATAAATCGTATATTTGACTTAAATTTTAGTTTTATAGATAATTTTTAAGAAATCACAGGTTTAGTTTTCAAAAATTGCAGGTTATTTACTCCTTTAGTCTTCTTCCCGAGAACTTTTTTAGATTATGAAATAGTGAAAAGATAGTTTATGATGAATATATGTTATGTTTATGTATATTCATAAAAGTTTTAAATTTCAAATTTCATAAAGAATATATGAATTTATCTTTAGTAAGTATATCACTTTCAAATACAAATTTGAGTCTACAGAAAATCCATATTCACACTCAAAAAAAAAAAAATATTAATTGAAATCTAAAATTTTTAAGAAATAACACTATTCTAAATACATTAATTTTTCATATTTAGAAAAATATTCATTTTGCTTTTCCGATTTTTGTTTTGGTTTTACTTTCTTAGTCATTCCTTTGTTATTCATTCCTTTCTTAGTCATTCTCTGGCGTTTAGAAGTGTATTTCATATTAGGGTTGTTAAGAAGTCTATATCTGCTCTTTCCTGACAAAAACATGAGTGTTGAGTCAATAAGAACTGAAAATCCCCAGAAAACAAGAATCATTTCATATACAGACATGGTACTTAACTTTGAATCTAACTTGTAAACTTTTGCGAGTAAAATAACGGAATTTAAGTATCTGTTTGGACTCCAGGACACTAATCGGTCGGCACGTAGTCTGTCTATTAATGATCTGATGGAAAGTGAATTAAAAACGATGGAATTTATCATAGCAAAAATTCCAAATAAGACATAATAAAAGTGATTGGATTTTGCAATTGGAACATGGAAAAATCTGGAATAGTGATCGTATTTTTCATAGTAGTTTCCATCTTTTTCGCAAAGAAGTTCTGGTTCTTTAGATTTAATTGGTGTTGGCTTCATAAAAAGGGCAAAAGCATAGTTGGCGATTGAAATGAAAAATGATATAATATAAATAATGTTGTATAGGTCTATGTTTATGTTTTGATCCTTTAATTCTGGAACAATCCTGAAAGAAAAAGTTACTAATGAGCTATAACGTGAAAATATATACAAAACCTTTGGAAGCAATCTTATTACTGGGAGATCTGCGTATTTAATTACTTTATTGAAACCTTTTCCGATTAAATTATCTTTCTGGAATATTGAACCACCAAGAATGAAGCAGCCAACATAAGCGGCAAAAATAATAATAAATATGATTGATTCTATCAGCTCGATATAGTACGAAAGCATGATAAATTCTGTTTTATCCGATAAAGAAAAATTTTGGATTGATAAATCTCATAGAAAATTTTATTAATAGGTATTCGATTTGCGATCACAAAGGTACATTCACTAGGCGATAACAGTAAAATGGGATGAAAATAGGATAAATAGCATCCCTATATAGTGCCTAACAATATTTATACGGGCCAAAAAAAATTTGGCTAGAGATTTGGCGAGTTAGAAAACTTAGAAAATTGAGAGGAATTTTTATTTTCGAATTTTTTTGGAAAGTTAAAATTGTGATTAAAAATCGATTTCCGGGAGAACTAAGCATCTCATCATATATTTAAATCGATAAAATTATTAAATAATAGTTGAATAGTACAACTACATGAAATTGTGGCTGAATATACAGAAAAAATGAACATATTTGACATTTTTGAAAATTCATATAGTTAGATGGTGACAGACCATAAACTATACTTTAGCTAAGAATGGTATATGATTTCAACAACACATGATTAAAATCGTAAAAATTTTTTAGATTTCAAACAGATATATGGTAATCTAATGGAACAGAGTCAGCAAATAGCATGTAAAATATGTTACAATTAACTTTTTATTATATCCAATAGTAAATATCGAATGGTATCCAGCTTTATGGTTAAATATTTTCTTATCGAGCTTCTCTTGAACTGTTGTATTAAGGTTGTAAATTTTTGATGCTAGGAACTTTGGAATCTTCTTTGCTGCAGCATTTTTCTTTGAGAGTTCTTGCAATTTCGAATAGATCTGCGCATTATATGAAATGGGGGCTTTAAAATATCTTGAAAACAGAATAGGACTGCTTTTCCAAAGGAATGCTTACTTGTAAATCAGAGAGTTTCAAAATTGAGTACAAGATTATCATCATAACTTTTGATTTTGCTGCGTAAAAGGAAGAAAAGGTATTAACAAATCATTTACTGTTGTTCATCAAAAGAAGAAAACTTTGATAACAACTAATGATGATAAAATCAAGCAATCTTTTCATATTTTAAATTGATAAGACATTCAAAATATTTGAATGGTTTAAAATATTTTCTTTTAATTTCTCTAATATATTATCATGATTATATAATCAAATTTAAATTTTTATTCAAAAAGGCAATATTTCAAATTTTTAATTTCAATAATTTAATTCTGCAATAAATGTATTTAATTGCAGCAAATTTAATGATCTTTCGTCATGGTTAGCAATTTGGAACTCATAAATTAATGATTTCTTCAAGTAAAATTCTGCATTATTTCAAAAGTCAATAATTCTCTAGTAACTTTTCCCCAAACCCTAACCATTATATTATATGTATAATGAGAATAATTGCAAAAAAAGTAGATAATTGCAAGAAAGACCGAATTTACTGGTAGTTCTTGTGATGCGAAATAATTGGAATTTAACACCTAGTTTTAGCAGCATCATTCTCTTTTTGCTCTCATTTAAATGCTTTTGCACACTTTAATTTTGAAATATAAGAGTTTTGGAAATTATCAAATTTATCTGCTCAAATACTATAGATCTTCATAAGTGTTAATAGAATCCCAGCCTTACATATAGTGTTTAATATAATGATGCACATTATACTGGGATTTATTCCTTATTCATCTAGTTATTATAAGATTTACAACCCCATGAAAATCTAAAATTTTGTCAAAAATAGTGAATGTACCTTTGCGATCACTTTGATTTGACAAACGTATTTTCATTCTAACTAAATTTTCTGAAATGTTTTGAAAATTTCCAGAAAATAATCGTTCTTCGATCATGACGATAATTTTCCAAATTTTGAGGTCTAACATTTAACATTTTTGTTTTCTTTTCTAGTTTTAATCAAGGCGATAACAAAGCAATCCATATCTATATATAAAATATATGAATGTGCATTAAAGATATTGATAATGTAGAATCTTCATGACAGTGAAATTTATGCAATATGGATAAACATATTGATTGGAGTATAATTAATTTTTAGTCATGAACAAGAATATCTATCATAATAATTAAATTTTGAAAGTATTAGCAAAAATTGTATTTTCTAATAGATGATATTGTCATCCATCCCATTTTAAAATGGCTCGAAGTATCCATTTGCCATCATAATTCATTGATATAGATATCTAAATCTCCATCTCTTGTAAATCCTTGAAAGTTATTTAAAAAGCAAATATGCCAAAGCAGATTCATAACTTCATATATGACCAATCTAAAAATAAAGTGATTTGCTGGGACTTTTAGAAATAGTGTACTTGAAACAATCATATAAAATACTTGAATTACAATGATATCTGAAACTAATAATGAATATAGGTGAACAAATTGTAAATGGACAAGTAGAACACATATAATTAAGAGCTGATACCACCACTTGTATTGAGCAGTCATTGAGTTATAAAATATATAACTATTCACAATACAAAGAATAAACATTATAACATGATTTGTTTTTATCAGACAATCATCATATCTAATAGCATAGTATCTTTCTGACAGAGAAATGATGAACAAGTAGAGGCCAATTGCGTTCCCTATTGGATAAATATGCTCGAAATATTTACAATAGCTTTCAACAGTCCAACTTCTTGACCAGATGATAGAATAGAACATCAGTGATAAAAATTTAATGAATGCTGACATTGGGATTTCTTTATAGTTAATATGAATAGAGTAATAACATGCAAGAATAGCATAAACTGTAAGAAAGGGAAATAAATAAAATGGAATTTTTAAAAGATTATTATCGACATTTATTGGATTAGTGTATCTATATGAAACGCTTATTGGTTCCTGGTGACAATTAAAAATCATTGGAGTAACAGTCATACTTTTGTTGTATTGTATTACTAAATTCTGATTTAACGAATTAATAATTTTATAATCACTATAATTTGATAAATCACCATTACATAGCTTCACAGGATCTAATTTACTATTATACCTAGAAGAATACATCAAAATTCCAAAAATATTATCTCCATTATAATTAATTTCCAAAGTTCCTCCGTTTGAAATACCAAAAGGCTGTAAATAAGCTTTTTTTGGAAATGCTTTGGCAATGGCATTAGTATAATTCCTATGTAACTGGATATATTTCCAGATAATGAACATTTTCATTTTTTAAAAAAATTCAATAAAACCTCTTATCTAATTGTTCTCTTTTTGGATATTTAACACATGTGTATTTTGAATATTAGAATCATTATGATATATCATTTTACTTTAAAATTGTAAAAAAAGTTGTAATTAGGAAAAATCCACATGATATTATAATTCTTATTCTTTAAAATAAAAACTCTTTGTGGTATATTTTTTCAACAATAATACGAACCGTGGAAAACATTACTCAATATGGATCATGAATAATTCATATGCATAAGCTCCTGTCATCATTGAATTTATTGAACTTATCCAAATCTTCCAATACTCCAAGATGATATAATAAATTCAAAAATTCAAAAAGCATAATTTTAAAAACGAAATGGGTTGGTGGAATCAAAATATAAATTGGGAATGCTAAAAACATACTCAAGTTTTGTAAAATTGATAGGCCAAGTTGTATTTCACCATAATAAAAATATGATAAAACTCCATTTAAAAATGAAATAACTCCATAAACTACTTGATACCACCACATTCTCTGGTCTGTCATTAAGAAATAATAAAAATAACTGCTTGAAATGAACAAAGCCAGAATAATGATTTCATTGAGATATTTCGTCAGATTATTATCATCCATTATGTTTGCACCATATTTTTTTCATAAAATAAATGGATAAACACAAATAAACTGACAGCATTCCCTAATGGATAAATATGCTCTAAATATTTGCATCCATTTTCAATAATCCAACTACTTGACCATATAATGGAAAAAATTATCAGAGAAATTAGTTTCAATAGAGTTGATTGCCTAATGATCTGTGTATTTTTGTATTTATGATATCTTCGCAGTAGGTATACATATATTAAAATAAATGGAGTCAAACAAATTGGTATCCATAAAAGATTGTTATCAACATTTATTGGATTTGTATATCGGTAAGAAACTACCAATCGACCGTGATTGCAGTTAACAATTAATGGAACAACTGTTCTACTTTTTTCATATTTTATAAAAAAACTTTTATTTTCTGTATTGAAGATTTTATTATCCGGAAAATCAACTATATCAGGACCACATAACTCTGTTGGACCTAATTGAGTATTCCATTTAGAAGAATATAACAAAACACCTGCAATATTATCTCCAGTAAAATTTATTTCTAAAATTCCGCCTTTTGACATACCATATGGATCCAAATAACCCTGCTTGATATATGATGGGAAAACCATTGTGTTAAAATTCCTATTCAATTGAATATATTTCCAGATTGTTATAAATTTAGTTATCATTGTTAATTTTAAAATTTATGTTTAACCGCCATTTTATTTGCTCGCTTTCCAACATATAGAAATAACCGTAGAAACCTATGTACCAGAATCTAATATCGCTATTTGATATCATTTTTTATAAGTATTTTTGCATAAGATATTGGAATTTTTAATTTTAAGTGTTTCTTGTTTTTTTTTAGCGGATATTTAGAATTAAAAGTTAAACTATTTTACAATTCTTGAAAATGAAATATCGAAAAATTCAAATGTAAAAAATAAATTGATTTTGGTATTTTAATTATTTAAATAAATCTTCTCAGCAAATGATAGTATATAACATTAAAGCTCTTTTTAACCGTTTTAAGTCAATTTATTATTGTTTATTGATTGATCTATAATATACTAATGTTTTTCCTCAATAACAAGATCCATTTATTTAATGTTTGATGATCCCTTCTTCATATAACTCAATAACAATTCAATAGTTGTGAGATAATTCAAAATATTTCATTATGATCAATGATGCGTGTATGTTAATGTTATTAGCCCAAAATGGAAAATATTTTAATATCCCTAAAGTATGAACTGAAATGACAATCTTTCATTTATGAAAATTTAACTA